CTTATGGGAAACATCTCATTCAAACCACCACAGCTAATAGTAACTATTTCCTCATTGAAAGTGGTGTTTCTTCATATTATTTTATTATAATAATTGTTATTTCATAATAATTTGTTATTGCTTATTCATATTATTTTGGTGAATTGTTTTAAGAAAACTATTAAATTTGTAGTCAAGTTAAATTCATTTGAAAATAAATACTTCTGCGTGATGCAGCTACAGGATTTGTAAGTAAATAGTGTTTTTGACATCACACATATAGTCAAGCTTTCTTAGATCTATAATTAAGCTGAGATCCACTGGAACTAATAATTGTTTTAGAGGGAGTAAAATAATAACAATAAGCTACAATTACTTAATGTATATCTTTAGTACTATACAAAAAATTAGCCTTTTACCATATTTTAGCCTCAGTTCTATGAAAGTATTGCAAAACTTTAGCAGCGTGACTTACAACTAAAGCCTGTACTATTGTAGCTGAGAAGCTAGAGGCAGAATTCAGACTCACATTCTGTTGAATTCACATTAACTCTGCCATAATCTGAATCTCTCCTCTGCCCCTGTACCTACCCTTCTTCATTACAACTATTGCTTCACACTGAGTAAGATTTGTATACACATTATTTTTTATTCTAGCATATTTGTCCAAAAGACTAAATTTTCTCATCACTTAAGAATAGATATTTTGTGTGGAAGCTGTTAATTTAAAGTTTCCATTCAAATCATGTTAGCAGACTGCTGATTTATTACCTTGCTGGCATATGGAAGGCATTACTCAAAAATTCTTTCATTGTCCTCTTATAGAAAACAGTTCTTAGTGCAGAACAGGAATCTGATATTTCTGCCCTTAAGAATTAGAGTATGAGCCCCTTGAAAGCTTGTACACCAGGTGTATCAATTAGCCAGGGCTGTTGATTTTGTTTTTTTTTTTTTTTTTTAAAGGTCTTATCAAGCACACTTCTGGTCAGAAACATGAGATCAAGGCAGGAGCAGGATTACTTCCTTTTTAAAAGCAAAGGCTCTGTTCTGTGCCTGTTTCCTTGGCTTATGAGTGAGGTCTTCTCCCTCTACTTTAAGTATGTCTATATCTGTGCTTACATTTCTTATTCTTTTAAAAAATATTTTTATTAATTCTTTGAGAACTCTATTAGGGACTGGAGAAATGGCCCGGCAGTTAAAATAGCATTCAATGCCATCTTCCTTAAACTGCTCTTTTGTCTTGTTTGTAGTGATTTCTCTACCAAAACATCTACCAGTAGCTGAGCATTAGCAGTCAGTGGAGATGAGGTTGCTAGTGGCTAGTTTCTGTTTGAATGACCAGGACATAGAGAAGCGGTTAATCTTTCCTTAGTGACTTAGCATCTTTATAGACTTTTATCTTTTGTCATGTGTGGGGCCAGTGATGGTACTGCTGAAGGCTGGTACAGGTTTGTCTGTCTTATTCTCTCTACAAAGAAAGGCTATGGGGATACAATGCTCTTCTTCTCCCTCTCCTCCTGTTCCTTTTTATTTTGCTTCTTTCTCCTCATCTTCCCTGTTAACCTTTCTGACTAGCTCTTGCACTACCAACTTCACTCTAGCTGTGTCTTGTGTTACTATATTGACTTTGCTGTGTAATGCCTGTCTTAATGTACAGCTGATCTAGAGTTCTTTGTAGAACAAAAATCAAAAATGTGCTGCTTTGCTTGTGGCTCTTACATCATTATTATTGTTGTTATTTCCTTTTGTAGGAACACAGCCAACTACTGTTCTTGGAAATGTGTATTACTGTATCGTGTTTGTTAGTTTGCAAATCACATCAAATTAATGCATGTGTGTAAGAAAAAGACCTTTTCATTGATGCCTGCAGTGTTTTTCATAAACTGGCATTTATATTACAAGAAGTCAAAACATTTGGTTAGTGCTTCTGTTTTTTTAACTAATTTTTTTTTTTGGTTTTTATGAGACAGGGTTTCTCTGTATTGTTTTGGAGGCTATCGGTCCAGCCCAGCCTTGAACTCACAGAGATCCGCCTGCCTCTGCCTCCCGAGTGCTGGGATTAAAGGCGTGAGCCACCACCGCCCGGCTTAACTAATATTTTTACGTGATTATTTGGAATTTTACGTAATGTACCACTGATGACTCCACTTCCCAGGCCTCCCACGTCCGCCCCTCACCCTTGTGGTTTCTCTGCTCCAAAAAGATTTTTTTTTGAAGTCCAATTTATGTTGTCCATATAGTCTGTGGAGCTGGTCAAACTCCCCGTGATGAGCCCCGTAAAGAAAATTGAGTCCTTTCCCCCTCCCACACCTCCACTCTTAGCCTTCTGATGTGGAGAACTACATGTTACCACTTCATGCTACACGGAGCACACACTTATCACAATTTTTAAGAGTTCTCTTAGATGGGTTCCTGTCTAGGTTATTATTTTTGGGGTGGGGTGGGGGATGCTGTTTGATTAGTGCTTTTCAAAGAAGCATAGGATGTAACAAGATAGCCATCTTAAAAAAGATGATAATCAAAATCCCATCATTGAACAAGCCCTATATTTTTTAGTATTATTTGTTATAAGTAGCAGTGTGATGTCCCTCAGTTAACTTTTAATGGTTTCTTTATTGTAGTTATTTGTGATAAATCAATTTTGATTGTTATTAAACATAAGAAAAAAGACTGTCAGAACAAAACAGAAAGAACAGGGAGTGTTCTTTTGAATTTTGATCTTCTTGGTGCACTTATAATTAGATTGTTTCCATTTAGTTATGTATCTGATAACCTATATCCAAAAGAAATACTTAAAAAAATAGAAAAAAGAAATTCTTGGAATGTTTCATGATTGTCCTTTAATTTCTTCTGGAATATGTTTTATTTTTTGAATAGGCCAACAAAGATTATTCTGTACATAAATAGAAAATAGCAGGAGCTATCATAATAAAGAATATCAATGAAGTAGCTCTTTTCTCCCAACCTCCTGTGTTCGGTGTACCCCATAACCAACCAGTCAGGTACTTATTCTTCTAATATGTTGAATATAATATAATATGAATATAGGCTTATCTCTTCTTATTTCTAATTAAAGGTAAAACATTATTTTAGTTATTGCTTTTTTTACTTTATTTCTCAAAGCTGTATCAGCACATGAGGCACCTCCTTGTTTTTTGTGGCAGCCACATTCTGTTCTCTTGTTGTTACTTTAAGGCTGACTTCTTGAAGGCATTTATGAGATCTCATCTTTTTGCCTTTGTTGACCCAGGTACCTCCTCTTCTAGTTGTCTGTCTATACCTTCAGGCTTGTATTTCTACTATGTACAGATACATTTGTGGACATAAGTATTTATGTAGAAAGAGTCGTGAGAATAATAGAAAACCATGGAATGTAGGGGCAAATGAGAGAATGACAGACCCTATTATACTTCACTAACTCCAGGACTTGAGGCTTCCAAAGACAGGAAATTTTCAAATATTTGTACCTAGACTCAACACAGAGTCTGATTTACTATGGCCAGGTTGTATGCCTTAACCATCTTGGCCTCCACAGGCCTAACAGGTAGTTGCCTAAATACTTATTACGTAAATATACTCTTGTCTGACGTGTGCTTTGTTGGTAGAACACTGTGTACCATGTACAAGATCCTGAGTTAGATTCCCTAGCACTACAATTGGGGGGGGGGGCGGGTTGTTCAAGACAGAGTTTTTCTGTGCCTTTGGAGCCTGTCCTGGAACTCACTCTGAAGATCAGGCTGGCCTACTACCCGGCCATATATATATATATTTTTTAAGGTACACACTACTCTCTTTGATTAGTTCTTTATTTTGTTGACTTTACTCCTTCCTTCCCATTGTTGAAAGCTCTCCCATTGGCTCTTGGGTGTGTTATTGTTGTCGATGTTGATGCCTACAAAGAACTCTACTCTCAGATTTTTAATACATTTGTTTTCTGCATGTTTTATAGTCGCTTGTGTTCAGGACTTCGAAATCTACCATCAACATTTATTAGATTGTGATCTTTGTACAAATGTATTATGAAATCTTTTATAGATGAAGAAACTTAGGTTCAGAGGGGTCACACAACTACATTAGAGCTATAATATGAAGTCCCTGCACGTGATTATCTGTCCCCTAGATGCTCACACTTAAAGACAGAAGAAATGTAAACATTAGGAAGTACGAATTCTAGCAATACTTGACTCTGATTTGTGTACATAAGTATAAAACTGCAGAAATTTATTAAGGATTATTCATCATATATTTTTTAATCATCTAGGAAATTAGGAATTGGGGTTTGCAGCATAAGTCTAGAGTGATGTATATAGAGCAGAACCTAATGACCAGTTGAATAGCCACAGAAATTTCTTAACCTTGTAATGTAATATCTCTATCTTGTTGGATGTATTTGTATTTTGTTGATACTTTTGTCTGTTGACTTAATTTTTTTAATTACACATAACTTGATTTTTTAAAAAATCCTTCTTTAACTTTAGGTATAACCAAGAAAGACATGTAAATTGGTTTGTTCTTTGTTTTCCTACATTTGTAAACATTGAATCCATTTTGTGAAATAACCTTATAGTATGAGGTATAGTATAGTATTTATAGTTAGACCTATATAAGTAACTTTATATTACTTTATGACCTAATATATTCATTAGTAAAGAAATGCAATGAAGAAACTTAATATACACATCTTGAAGTAATATTGTGTTTTTCTTTTAAGTATTTGAGGTTAACATATACTTTAAGTAGGATTTGATTTTTTTTCTTGAATGTGCTCTGTATAAAGGTGGCTTTTCTAACCTAGATTTAAAATGGTGTTTATTTTATTTTTAATAAAAAGCACTGATTCCTTTTTGGATAATTACATCAATTTAAAAGAATAATTTTGTTTTATAACCTAAGGTTAATTTATTGGCAGAAAGTATACAAGTAATTTTTCAATTGTTATCTGATTGGGACTACATCTAACTTTAGGTTTATTAAAAATAGTTCGTGTAAAATATTTCAATTATTTTTTCTTCTTGTTGCAGGAGCTAGAGTTAATGCCAAAGACAGCAAATGGTTGACACCTTTACACAGAGCAGTTGCATCTTGTAGTGAGGTATGACATTTCTCTTAGTTAATGCATGTAAAGAAGCATTAAGTAAGCCTGTGTGGGTCTAGCCTAAAACTGCATTTTTAACAGGAATAAAAACCTACTAAAATAACTAGACTGGTCATTTTATATCAAAATTTGTATAAATTAAGCTAATTTTTACCTTTGTGTGTAAGGCTCTTAGGGTCTGAAGTGAACAACAGTAGAAACCCTATTTCTGTCCCTCCAAGAGAAAGTAGTTTTCCTTTTTTTTTTTTTAAAACTTATCTTTCAAAATTTTTATCAGTGTTTTGCCTGCCTGTATGTCTGTGTGAGAATGTTGGATACTGGAAGAGTAGTCAGTGCTCTTTACTCCAGCTTGAGAAAGTGTTTTTCTGTCCTTTTAATTATTTTTATTTATTTATTTATTTTTATTTTTCGAGTCAGGGTTTCTCTGTATAGCTTTGTAGACCAGGCCAGCCTCAAACTGGCAGAGATCCACTATCCTCCTGAGTTCTGGGATTAAAGGCGTGTGCTACCACTGCTGGCTGAGAAAGTGTTTTTCTATCACATAATCCTCCTTTGGGTCTTTTCTTTACTGGCTTGTAATACTCTGTCCCACCGTTCTGCTGAACATATTGTCATCGGTATATAATGATTAACTTGTAGGATTTATTTGAATATTGACATTAATTTTAGGAATAGTTCTTGTAAGTATATTTTTATGAATGTCTTTGTGTGTGCCTCCACATTCATGTTCACATATGTTTGGGCACACCTGTGTATGTATGTGAGTGTGATTGCATTTGTATGCTCATGCAGATATTTTTCTGGTCATTACCCACTTTATTCACTGAAATAGGGTCTTTTGCTGAAGTCAGAGCTCACCAAGTCTAGCAGGGCAACTAGCCAGTGTGCCCTTAGTATTTGCTGTTTCTGCCTCCAACGTGCTGGGATTACAGGTGGCTGCCACACCTACCTGGCGTTTTCACAAGGGTTTTGAGAGTCCAAACCTGGGTCCACACACACACACACTTACTCCTTATCAGACACAGTGCCGTTTCTCTAGCCATTCATGTCCATTTCAGTTGGGAAGTATTGTATTAAAGAATGTGAGATTTCTCCCGTGAATAAAAGACTCTTTCCTGTTTATAATCCTATATACTGTTTGTCCATTAAGATAACTGACATTTTTAGAAACTATTTTTAGTATGTTTGCCATCTTCTAGACCTTATAACACCTTTATAAGAACAGATGTTTGAAGAAGTGACCGAGACCCCGGTCCTCACTTTTTCTGTCATTTTACTGCTTCATTTAAGTATAGGAGATACTTAATTTGCTCTTTCATGTCTCTTTTTATTCAATTTTCTGTATCTCCAGAGGAAGCTACAGTTATGATTGATATCACTATTGTTTTCCCTGTTGTAGAATTTTGTAAAAATTGAAACAAACAATATGTATGATTTTGTTTTGATTTCTGCAACATAACCTTTTTATGATTTGTTGATGCTGCCTATGTTAATGAGTTTCCTTTTATTGCTGAGTAATATTATACGTTGCCTTTCCAATTTCTTATTGATAGATATTTGAATATTTGATTTTATGACTATTCAAAACAAATTGATATGATCATTTGTCCTGGTTGGGTTTGTTTTGTTTGTTTCTCCAACTTGATACAACTTGTCATCCAAAAAGAGAATTTTTTCTTTTCTTTTTTTCCTGTAATGTAGGCTGATATCAAACTTCTGATTCTCCTGTTTCATCCTCCCAAGTGCCAAGATTATAGATGTGTATCACTATGCCCAGCTTGGTCTACGGGTGTGTGTATGTGTGCGTGTGTGTGTCCCTGTCCGTGTGTGTGTGTGTGTGTCTGTGCACATGTGTTCATATGCATGTGTGTGTGTTTTGCCTGTATGTATATCTTTGTACCATATACATGATTGTGCCCCTGGGTGCCAGATCTCCTGGGACTGGAGTTATAGATGATTGTAAACTTCTGTGTGTCCTGTAAATTGAACCCTGGTCCTTTTCAAGAGCAGCCAGCACTCTGAACTGCTCAGGCATCCCTCCAGTCCCAGAAGAGAGAATCTCTAATGAGAAAATGGTGCTATTAAGATTTTTGGCTTGTAGGCAAGTCTGTGAGATGTTGTCTTGATAAATGATTGATGGGACAGGTGGTTCTTGGTTATAGAAAAAAACACACTGAGCAAGTTGGGAAGAGCAAGCCAGGAAGCAGCAGCCTCCATGGTTTCTGCTTGCTGCCTCCAGGCTCCAGCCTTGAGTTCCTGCCCTGACTTTCTTTCATAAGTTCTAAGATGAAACAAGCCCTTTCCTCACTAAAATGCGTTTTAGTCATGGTGTTTTATTACATCAGTAGAAACCCTAACTAAGACAGCGTTCTTAAAGAGGTCTGTTTATTTTCTCTAACTAGAACGGAATTGTAGGGTCAGAGGCCTCTAAGTATCTTTGATTTACTGCCTGACTTCCTCAGCAAGTTAGTAGATTCCTGAGCATCTCTTCAGTCTTTTTTGCCAACCCTACTAAATACTAGCTCTGTTCCCTACATTTCAGACTGTCCTGATTGCTTTCATTTCAAAGACCAAAGTTGTACCTATGCCACTCAGTCATCCCCGAACCCTTGAAGCTTTATAAATGCTCCCCATGTGCACTAGTTAGTTGTATCTTACAGCAGTCTTGAAAAGAGTAGTGGTCAGTTAGTGTCCTCTTTCTCCTAGATAAGAGCACCAAGGGGCAGTTTTAGACATTTTGAGTGTCTTGTAATTATGTGCCCCGGAGGGAAAGTTGAGTCATGTAGTAGTTCTATTTTTAATTTTTTAAGGAGCCTCCAAGTTAGTTTCCATGATGACAGTATTAATTTTTACCTCCAGCAGTGAATATGTGTTCCTCTTTCTCCACATCCTCCCCAACATTTGTTAACTGTGACAAGCAGAGCCAGTGAGCTGTGAGCTTGATTAGCATCTGCTGGGAGGTCCTTCAGTTAGATCACACCTGGGGGATGGCACTCTTGGTAATTCCAGAAGATCCTTAAGAGCATTTATTGACCAGTGGCCAGTTTCCAAGTCCCTTTGCAGATGGGAAAGTGTAATGGCTTGGAGCGCCCTGTCTCAGGAGCACAGCAGTGAGCTCTGGGGCCGCCTCCAAAGTTGCAGTTTCTATTTGTGCTGTCCCAGTTGGCGTTACCTTGCACTGTCAGAGCTCACAGTTTAGGGTTGTTTCATTAATACACCAGAGAGTCTACCTTAGGCTTGGCTCCTATCTGAGCTGCCTTATGACTGGCCCCGTAACACAGCTTGCAAACATTACAATTTCAAAGTCACACAGAATGATTTTACACAAAATTATTTTGGTTGTGTTCCCAGTACTGTCAGGTTTATTTATTTATTTGCTTACTTTGATTTTATGACTTGAGTGTTTTGCCTGCAGAGACCAGATAAGAGCCCTTGGTCTCCTGGAACTGAAGATATAGATGACTGTAAGCTGCACTGTGGGTGCCTGGAACCAAACCTGGGTTTCCTACAAGAGTAGCAAATACTCTTTAACCTCTGGTCTTTCCAGCCCCTGTTGTTTGAATTCTTGTTGATAAGCCATTTTGAATAAGATAAGAGTAATTTGTGTTTGTATTGTAGTTTGTGTTTGTATTTATATTTGATAGATACTTTGTATTTCCCTGACCGTTAGAGATATTGAATACTTTTAAAGTCAGTTACTAGTCATTTGTGTGTCTCGTTTTAAAGTCAGTTACAGTCATTTGTGTGTCTCTTTTTGAAAACTGTTTGATTCACTTGCCCATTAGTTGATTGGCAGTTTCTTATCCTTCTTGATATTTAATTCTTCAGTTCTTTGTAAATTCTGGATATTAGCTCCTTGTATAAAGTGTAGCTGAAAAGATTTTCTATCTATGCTGTTTCCTCTATAGGTAGTTTGTGTTGCTGATAGTTACATTTTCATATAGTTTCATCTGTTGATATTTATGGCTGCTTCCTGTGCTGATGGTATTTATTCAGAAAGTTCTCACTGAACCTAGTGTCTTCAAGAGTATTGTCTGTTTTATTTCAGTGTTTCAGGTTTTAAATTAAGGAGTTAATTCATTTTGAATTTTTAACAAGGTTCAAAATTAATCTGATTTCATTTTACTGCAGATAGATATCCAGTTTTGAGAGCACCATTTGTTGAATGAGCTATCTTTTTTCAGATGTGTGCTTTTTGTCTCCATTGTCAAAATTAAGTGGGCATAGCTATGTCTTTTATTTCTTGAACCTCCTTTCCATTGATCCTCCTACCTGTTTTCCCCCAGTACTAGGCTGTCTTCATCACTATACTGATAGTGTAGTTTGGGATCAGGTATTGTAGTACTCCAGCAGTGTTCTTACTCCTTAGGATTACTTTGGCATTTTGTGGTCTTTGGTGGTCCCATATGATTCTTTTTCCCCCTAAATATATTCAGTGGAATAGTACACTTACTGATTTGTTTGTGTGATCTGTGGAACATGGCATCAGAGTTTTTGGTAGTTAATTGCAGTAAATCTGTATATTTTTGATAATACAGCCATTCCTGCAATGTTAATACTGCCAGTCCAAGAATATAGAAGGTCTTTCCATCATCTACTACCTTCTGTGATTTCCTTTTTCAGTGTCTTGACGTCTTTGTGTCTACAGGTGTTTTTATTCTTAGATTGGATAATATTCCTAAATATTTCAGGGGTTTTTTTGGAGTTATTTTGAACAGAATATTTTTATAATTTATTTCTCTGAGAGTGCATTGTTGATATATATGAAGGTCATTGAGGTATTTTAATGTTGGTTTTTGTATTCTGCAACTTTACTGTGTTTATTAGATCACAGAGTTTTCTAGTAAACTATATAGGGTCTTTTAAGTCAAATATCGATGCCATCTTAAATAAAAATAGTTTGATTTCTTTCTTACCTTTATCCATTCTCTGTGTCTTTCTTTTACTATAGCTAAGACTTGGAGTACTGTATCAAATGAGAGAGGGGAGAGTGGGCATTCTTATGTCTTGTTCCTAATTTTAGAAGAAATGCTTTCAGTTTGTCTCCATTTACTGTATGTATGTTATAGGTTTGTTATGTGCTCTGTTATTTTGAAGTATATTCCATCTATTACTAATATCTGCAAAACTTTATCATGAAAGTTTAATGTATTTTGTCAAATGCTTTTTTAAACACCAATCAAAATGATTATGTAGTTTCTATCCTTAAATTCATTTATATGGTATATTATATTCATTAATTTATGTATGTGAACCAACATGTTGCCTTTCTGGGATGACACCCACTTGGTCATACTATATAATCTCCTCCATGTGTTCCTGAATTCGATTTGCAAGTATTTTGCTGAAATTTTTTGCAACTGTGTTCATTAAAGAAACTGGTCAGTAGTTTTCTTACTTTTGTTCTTGTGTCTTTACCTGGTTTTGGCATCAGAATAATACTTCATGGATGAATTTGGTAGTGCTTCTTCATCTTCTATTTTATGGAACAAGTTAAGAATTGGTATGAAATTTTTCTTGCAAGTTTGATAGAATTCAGCTGTGAAATCTATGTAGTTCTGGGCATTTTTTTTTTTTTTTTGATGGGAGGCCTTTGACTATGGTTTCAGTCTCTTGTAGTGGGTCTGTCTATATTATTGATATCTTCTAAGTTTAATTTTTTGGGTGCTATACATTTAGAAGATCTCATTTCTTCTGGGTTATAGAGTATAATTTTTCATAATAGTCACTAGTAAAGCTCTGCATTTTTCAGGGGTCTGTTTTAATGACAATCTTTTGATTTAAGAACCAACTCTGGTTGATTTTGTGTTTTGTTATTTTAATATTTATTTCTTTAATTTACTCTCTAATCTTTATTATTTCTTGCCTTCCACAGAGATAGTTGCACTCCCATGTTTATTGCTGTCTTATTCACTATAGCAGGGAAACGAAATGAACCTAGTTGTTTATCAAAAAATGAATGGATAGTAAAATCTGGCATAAGTGGAATATTGGTCAGCTTTAAAGAAAAATGAAATCACAATTTGCAGAAAAATTGATGGACTTAGAATATATAATACTAACTGAGGTCACATAGTTTCAGAAAGAAAAAAATACTGCATGTTTTTCCTCGTGTGGACTATGGTCTATAATTTACATATTTATATATATTCATATATAATGTATATAAGCAAACAAATATGTGTATACAATATAACATGTAAAAAGGAGAACAAGACAAGGAAGAGTGCTAAGCAGGTATTGTATACGATTTATGAAAGGATATAAAGCTCTGTTTTTCTAGTTTTAACTCTCATGGATTTGAGGTAGGGGCTGTGGTAGATTAAATGCATAGAAGATAATTGATAGTGAAAGTATGATCCAGTGTATGAAGTTCCACAGCTTCAGGATGACACTTCTTAATATACTGCCGTTTTGGGTCTGGCTGATTTCTTTATTTGCAACTTCTGTATAATAAAGTTAATTATTATTTAAAAAGTCATAGTATTGAGATTCTGTTGCTTTTCATTTTCATATGTGGTTTTGTACTTACCTACCAAAGATAGGATTATCACTGTAAGGAGACAATTTTGCTGTTTAATTCTGATTATATTGCTTAATGCCAACGACATACTTAAATTCTAGGAACTCTGGCAATCCTAGGAATCCTGGCAGACACTTCTTTATAAAAGTGTTGGTGTAAGGTTTCTAAGGAGATGAATTTTTTGAGACAGTAACCCTTACATTGCTTCACTAGTAACATTCACATTAAATAGAATTACAGTAGAAGACCTTGATGTACTAATGTAATGAACCAGACCTAGTGATTCTTTTTTAGCTTGATAAAATGTAATGCATAATTCTTTGCAAGATGAGAAATGTTTTTTTAAGTTTTTGTATATTTAATTTCAAAATAATGAATTTTATTAAAGCTATGTAATGTACATACTATTTCTGTTTTTCTGATATAAACATTAAATGAAAAACATGCATTTTTTTGCTTTTTTATTAAAAGTACATTTTAATGGAGCGTGTTGAATTTACTGAGAAAAGAGAATATTTTTACCAAAATACATCTTTTATGGCTCTAAGTACTATTTTTAAATTCAAAATACATTCTTAAATTCCCATTACTCATAGTGGGCTCTTTCCACACATTTATTTCCTCCATATGTGTGCATCTTTATAAATTTCTAAAGTATTCACTCCTCTTGTTTATATTTTAGGAAGCAGTTCAGATACTTTTGAAGCATTCTGCCGATGTTAATGCTCGAGACAAAAATTGGCAGACCCCTTTACATATAGCTGCTGCTAATAAAGCTGTAAAGTGTGCTGAGTCTTTGGTGCCTCTTCTGAGTAATGTGAACGTATCGGATCGAGCAGGGAGAACTGCATTGCATCATGCAGCTTTCAGTGGGCATGGTGAGGTAGGTGCATTCAATTAGAAACTGATGTCTTTTTTCCAACTTTTGTTTGTTAATGAATTTGCTGTCTTTTAATTCATTGAATTCATAGAAAAAGCAAACAAAATATCCCAGCATTTTTCTTTTTCAGTGATACAAGTGTTCTCAGATTTAAAATTTATTTAGTTTATAATACACATTCACTAGAATTTCATAATGACCTAAAATGACAGCACTGTTGGCTATAGGCTAACATAAGAGATACATTCTGTTGTTGTCAAGAAAGTGCAGAGAGACAGCAATCATTGTTTTGAGGTTTTGTTGTTGTTGTTGTTGCTGTTGTTTTTTGAGACAGGATTTCTCTGTATTACTTTGAACCCTGTCCTAAAACTTGTTCTGTAGACCAGGCTGACCTTAAAAGAAAGGCGATGTTTAGAAACTATGCTTTCTTATAGTTTATCTTTAAGAAAATTAGTTGGGCTGGAGAGATGGCCTAGAGGTTAAGAGCACCAAAGGCTCTTCCATAGGTTCTGAGTTCAATTCCCAGCAACCACATGGTGGCTCACAACTACCTATAATGAGGTCTGGTGCCCTCTTCTGGCTTGCAGGAATACATGCTAGCAGAACGCAGTATACATAATAAGTAAATCTTAGTAAAAGAGAAAAGCAGTCACCACCAGTTGGGAAGATGAGTCAGTCCATAAAGTGTTTTCTGTGCAAGCATGAGAGGACCTGAGTTCAGATCCCCAGCACCCATAGAAAGGACTAGGTGTGGTAGTGCACAACTGTAATCCCAGCCAGATCTCTGCAACTTGTTGGTCAGCCTGCCTGCCCAAACTGATGAACTGCAGGTAAGAGACCCTGTCTCAAAAATAAGGTTGAAGTGCTGTGCAATTCTGGCATATGCATTTAATCCCAGAACTCAAGGAAGCAGAGACAAGCAGATCTCTGAGTTTGAGGACAGCCAGGCTACACAGAGAAACCCTGTCTCCAAAAGAAAAAAAAAAGTAAAACAAAATATAAAATAAGGTGAAGCATGATGGAGGAGAACACCCAGTATTAACCTCTGATCGTCCCCACATATACATATGCACTTTTACACACACAAAATAATGAAGCATTGGCAAGCCTCGTTGAACCAGGGTTAGAAGAACCTTTTCTAGCTTCCCCTTCCCAGATACGGCTGCCTTCTTTCTTTGTATTTTATATTCTTCAATTCCCATTCTTAATTTAAGATGAAATGTTACTATGTTCCGAACTCCTGAACTCCAGGCTGTCCTCCTACCTTGTCTTCTTCTAAGCAACTGAAGCAAGTTGCACCCCAGTGCACCCAGATCCTAGTCCTTCAGTGTGCAGACACAAACACAGGGTTAGAATGGCATTCGCAAGACTTTGCAGCTGGAAACCTAGTGACCTCATTGTTCTTTTCATTGTAATGCTCTAAAGCATTGCATCGACTGTAGTATAGAACACAAAATAGAGAAACAATTATAAATATGAGATAATTGACTTTGTAATTTAATTAAACATAGTTGATCTACCATAAGGGTTAAAATTAAGTTTCAAACATTACAAGTGTGAGACAGTTCTTTACATTCTAATAACACTTTAGGTTATAAATAGCAATACAGTTTCTATTTAGGTATTCCAACTTTAGACTTTCAAGGTTTGTACTTACTTAAATAGTCTTAAGATACTGAGTTGCAAAGTGGTATCTTAAAAGAGGCCATAGCCTGACCAGTAACACAGTGAACTCCGTCCTGTGTTATCATATTAAGTGTCCTTCAATGTTTTAGTTCCTTTCTACAAATGCAGCAATTCAGTGCCAGAGAGAGCAAGTTAAATAATCACAAGGCATATTTATAAACTCCATGAAACTTACTTTTATTCCAGATGGTCAAACTGCTACTGTCTAGAGGTGCCAATATTAATGCTTTTGACAAGAAAGATAGGCGTGCCATCCACTGGGCAGCGTATATGGGTATGTACTTTTTAAATTTACTTTTGACAGTGTATTTATGGGAAATAATGATTTTGGTTTTTTGGCATTTATGTAATTTTTAAAAAGTATAACAATAAATTATACAATATCTCTGAGATTGTTGCCCAAGCAGAACAAGTTGAAGAGGTTTACTACACTGGATCCAGTTTATAAAAACTGAATAAAATAAGAGACAGCTTAGATGGTGACCTGGTATATTTTACTTAAGATGACTGTTTGCTAAAAACGCATTTGCATATCCATTCTTCTTTTTATTGTGTTATTAAAGTATAAGTTGTGAAGACACATTGAGAAGCATCTTACTAAACTGAAAGTTTAGCTGAAGTGATACTGTGTTTGCCTTGTATACACAAGGCCTTGGGTTCAATCTCCATCACTGCAAAAAAACAAAAAACAAAAACCTAAGCATATTATTATGAGCTAGAGTGTAAGTGTGTGTGTCTGTGTGTGTGTGTGTGTGTGTGTGTGTGTGTGTGTGTGTGTTCGTGTTCATGTATTTGTACATGCACGTGTACATGTGTGTCAGGTCAACTTTCAGTGTCATTCCTCTGGAGCTATCTGCCTTATTTTCTGAGTCAGGGCCTCTGACCGGAACCCAGGGATATAGTAAACTGACCAGAAAACCCTAGAGATTTGCCCGTTTCTACATCCCTGACACTGAAATTATAAGTGTATACTTCCACACCTAAGGGAACCATTTTTGGTCACATACCCTATTATGATGACCAAAACTTGAAAATGTCATATTTACTACCAAAAATATGTGCCTCCTATAGAAATAAAGTTTTTCTTGTGTTAAAGGTAAAATAGCCTAAAGGAGTTCTGTTTCGTTCTAAAGTACATCACACTGTGGAATTTTATATCCTTAAGTTCTGAAGACTTTCCTTCATACTCTATTGTAGTTTATTCATTGGGACAGTTTAAAACAGTGTACGTGATTTAAAACAACAAATTTTGTATTTAAAAGGTTTGCATAGTCAGTGAAGTATAGTAAGCCTTTCACTTTGAAGGAACTAGGTTTGACTTAACAGTTATTTTCATTAAATGAAGGCCAGAATAATTTTGTGGCTTGCTTGAAGGTGAACTTCTAAAAGAGGTTAGTGTGTACATCTTGGTTTGTATGCCCTGGATACACTTGATTATGATTAAAAAGGTATTCTGTGTTTTTGAGTTAGCTGTCCATTCTTGATCTTCCTTGTGTTACTCTAACAATGTGTGATATTGGGTAATTTATCCTGAGAAGAATTTCTTTTCCTTCAAATTTTGGAGCTTTGGAAGTCCAAGATGAAGGTTCTGTCATCTGGTGTCTTCCTTCCTACTATGTCATGTCATAACGGAAGACATCACAAAGTAAAAGAGAAAGAAAGAGATGTTAAATGACCTTTGGGTAGAGGAACAAGATCTAGTCAAGATTAACACTAGATAAAATAGTACGTTGTATTGTTTTTAGTTCTTTCTACCTACATTTTCAAAATTATTCTGAATTCTTAGATTTTTTTCATTCCTGCCTTGAATTACAGCGTGAATTAGTCATCATGTATTATAAACTTAATGTGCTGCTTACATTTGTTAAAAGGAATTCAGGATCTATTTAGTAATTTCTATGAACTGATCTGTTTGGGTTTGTTTGTCTTTTCAGGTCACATTGAAGTAGTGAAATTGCTTGTCTCTCATGGAGCCGAAGTTACATGCAAGGATAAAAAGTCTTATACACCTCTTCATGCAGCAGCCTCTAGTGGAATGATCAGTGTAGTCAAGTACCTTCTAGATCTTGGAGTTGATGTAGGTGTTTAGATTGAACAGTATAAATTAAAGTATTGTTCTGTTTTTTACCATATTGTCAGAACTTAGGTTTGAAAGATAGCAATAATATCTTTGTCTTTTTACCAAATTTTTCGAACCATTTAATTAGCTAGTATTGTGATATGACCAGCATATGTGTCTTAGTTAGGGTTACTATTGGGTGGGATGAAACCCTGTGACCAAAGCAAGTTGGGGAAGAAAGGGTTTATGTGGTTTATGCTTCCACATCACCATTCATCACTGAAGGGAGTCAGGGCTGGAATATGGAGGGTGCTACTTACTGCTTACAACTTGCTCAGTTCTCTTTCTATAGCACCCAGGACCACCACCTAGGAATGGCATCGCCCACAGTGGCCTGGGCCCTCCACATCCATCATTAAATAAGAAAATGCCCTATAGGTTTGTCTGCAGCCTGATCTTATGGAGACATTTTGTCAGTTGAGGTTCCTTCTTCTTATATGACACAGATGTGTCTAGTTGACATAAAACTAGCCAATACAATAGGTAATTAGTGAAAAATATATAGCGTTAAAACCCATTCAAAGATGAGTGGTGTGCCCAAAGTTTTTCTTTTCCATCACATTTCAGATCCTGTAGCTGTGTTTCTTCCAGGTCTCTGGGAACCAGCAGATCAGAAATGTGTTGACTAGGCAGTTGTGTTATTGTCGGTTTTCTAAATTTATTTAAGTGACTATAGCAGATCACATTATGAGATACTGACAAAAGCAGTGGAGGAAGACAAAGTACTTATTAACCAAATGTACATATGAGTACTGTAAACACTATATAATAATACCATTCCTTTTGATTAGGAAGGAATACTGTTCTCTCGGTATATATTGGATCCCTGGGTAAGAATACATGGAGCTTTTATATGCTATTTTTTAAATACACATCTTTTACTCCTTCTTTTATTATATTAACTCTTTTGGTTTTGGGAATAGTCTCACTGTAGAGCCCAAGTTGACTTCAAATTTGAAATCTTCCAGTCTCATCTTTCAAGTGCTTGGGTTACGGTACATGACATAATCCCTGCCCTAGTGTTATTTACTCTTACCGCGGCGGCATGTGGATCAAACTTAGTGATTTTTCAAATCCGTGAACAAGAAGAAAGGAGAATGCAAAGAGAGGGAGACAGTCAAGTTAGTTAGTTGTAAAAGCTGTCAGAAGTATGTGATTGTTGTTAGATAAGACACGACAGGACGATAGAGCTACATTAGTTGGTTGATGACTGTGAGAAAGACTGTACTGGAAAACAAGGAAGGGAGAAAGTGGAAATGTGAGAATTAGAAGTTGCAAAACATCCAGACATATTGTTGAGTGGGATCCTGAAAAGTACAAGATGGCTAAAAGTTTCATTTTGTGCAAAAGGTCCTGTAGCTCTTTTTCAACCAATTTGCATAATGGCCTTAAAATATCTCTGAAATTGATGAATGAGACATCCTTGTTTTGGCTTACCATTTATAATAAATATCCCTTAACTCAAAGACTTTTGAAAATTCATTTTTTTATTTTCTTAAATAACTCTTGTGGAGGAATTTAACATTGTATTGTAAAGCACATGCTCTAAATGTATGTAACCCATTTAACACTAAATTGCTTATTTTTATATTTATTATTATAAAAGAACCTTAACGTCATAAACTTCATCTTGGTATTTATTCCTTTTTCTATAACTAAAGATTTAAAATAGCTTATACTGGAAGAAGTATTAAGAGTCACATTTTTTCCCTATAGATGAATGAACCAAATGCCTATGGAAACACACCTCTTCATGTGGCCTGTTACAATGGACAAGATGTTGTTGTGAACGAGCTCATAGACTGTGGTGCTAATGTAAATCAGAAGAATGAAAAAGGGTTCACTCCTCTGCACTTTGCTGCTGCGTCAACACATGGAGCACTGTGTTTAGAACTCCTGGTTGGCAATGGGGCTGACGTCAATATGAAGGTATGAAACAGTTAGAATCCGTGCTGTCAGTGCTTAGTTAACTGTCTAAAATAATATTCATAACACAGACTACTCAGAGTTACAATGACCTGTTGGTAAACTTAAAAACATGGATAAGGCCAGAAATGGTGGTGCACACTTTAATCCAGCTCTCTGGAGGCAGAAGCAGGCGGATCTCTGAGTTGAGGCCCACAGAGCTACACAGTGAGCCACCATCTCCAACCCTGCCAAAGAACATGGCTAAATAAACCTCTAACAGAGAAAGAATTTATTATATTTTCTTCTATGCAAGATTCTAGAACAGATGGAATTCTGCTTATGTGGAGTTCCAGAATTTATTTTTATAGTCAGGGGGAAAATAACAGATCAGTTGTTGCCCATGGGAAGGAAGACTCTCCTGGGCAAGGGGCATGAGGAGACCTTACAGGGTAATGGTGCTGTTTAGTACTTGGCAGGTCTTGCATAATGTAGATAATCACCTGTGGAAACACAGGGGCTCTTTAGACAGTACACTTTGTTATGTGTAAACTTTGTGTTATAAGGGAAACTGTAGGTGTTGAGTTATGAATGATACATCCTGATTGTCACAATGTGAAATAAACCTGTGACTAACTCTAAAGCATCAAGTACTTGTATGGTAATGTGATAAAAACATGGAGTAAAATGTTGATGGTGGAATCCATATATGTATATGGATATCCATGCTACAATACTATTTTGAAATTGTTCTCTTTTCTGAAATTTCTGTTATAAAAATTTTCATAGTGTTATCATAGAAACATTATCTGTCTTTTATACATAAAGAATAGTCACTTGGCTTTTTGTTCATAATTGCTTTCAGGAGTAAGCATTTTAGAAATATGTTAAAATTCTGGAGTCAAAATGTATTTTCACTACGTAATTCTATGTGAAACACAGATAACTAAGACTTCAAGAGTTGATGTTTCACAGTACACACTCACTTTATATTGTTAAAAGGTGTTTTACTGTTTGCGCCTGTATTCATCAGTTTATCATTCAGGGTACTTGACAATCCCCATCTTGTGTTAGGAAGAACCCTAAGTCAATCAAATTTGAATCATGTAGGATTAGTAGAACCATGGAAGCTTACAAAAAATGTTGGCAGAGAATTTCAACTCCTTTTGAACGTGGATGTAGAAGAGCACTGCCTTGCCTAACTCGAGAACACTATCCTACATTAGAAACGTGAAATAGAATTAAGTCTAGCAGCGTTGGTTCATTGTTTTCTTTCTCAACTGAGGGACAAATTTATTTGCTTCATACTTAAGGAAGACCAAAAAGTATCAAGATTTTCTGTTATGCTTTGGGCTAGGTTGTCTTTTTAAAGTTCTTTTAAATTTCAAATTACCAGCCAGGCGTTGGTGGCGCACGCCTTTAATCCCAGCACTTGGGAGGCAGAGGCAGGCGGATCTCTGTGAGTTCGAGGCCAGGCTGGACCGACAGCCTCCAAAACAGAGAAACCCTGTCTCGTAAAACCAAAAAAAAAAAAAAAATTCAAATTATCTTACAATTTTATATAAAGTGACTTGCCTAGCAGGCCTGAGGACTCGAGGTCAATGATAAACCCTCTCTTAAAAACAAAGTGGGTGGCTCTTGAAGAACAGCCCGATGCTGGTCTTTTGGCTTCCAGGTGCATGCACACTCATATTCCTTTGCACACATACACGTACAAAGTGTATACATTTGAAGATAAGCATAATGGCACATACTGTAATCCTAACACTTGGGAGCTAAGACAGGAAGATGGTGATTTTGAGGCCACCCTGGGGTATACAGTAATACCCTGTCTGAATTAAAAACAAAGCATGCATGTATATGTGTGTTTGCATTCGTATATGTATGTAACTAAAATGTGTTGATGACATTTTGCAGGTTTTCATTGACTGACCTAGAACGGTCTGTGTAGACCAGGCTGGCCTGAACTCTTCAGACACTCCTGCCTCTGTCTTGGGAGTGCCGAGTTTAAAGGCATTCACCACCGTGCCAGTTGATCATTTTAACTTGAATTTTTAACCCAAGCCAGAAAAATTTGTGTTGTAGGAATTGCTTTTTTCCTCCTAAAGAGAAAATCTTTTAGTTTATCTGAATGGACCTCAGAGGCAAAGATAAAATCTAGTTTTGTTTTTTGTTTTTTCCAAGACAGAGTTTCTCTGTGTAAATCTAATTTTTTAAAAAGTCTCTGTGATATGTGTGTGTGGTAAAATATCTAAAATTAATTTGTATCACCTTACGTGTTTCATGGAAATATTGAAGGCTTATTTATACCATTAATTATTATAAACATCTCAGTTATGTGCAGCTATATTTAAAGGACAAAATTGGATTTTTGAAAATGTCATTAATACTCTTATGTTTAGACATGATATTTCATGCAGTTTGATAATAATTAGTCCCTTGGTTCATAAAAGTATCTTTGTAGTTGTCTCTAGTACTTACGATTAGTTGTTTCTTTTTCTTTGAAATTTAGATTGAGAATCTGTTCTCTAAGAGATTTTACTTATAAAAATGGTCAAAACTGGACCTACATCCTAAATAATCTATAAAACTCAGTATTTTATATATTAAATGGTGATTTTTTTTTGTTGGCAAAGGGTACATTTTAGTGATTAAGTATATTTGAAGCCTACACTAAATATAAAATTTGCCTAATGATATATAATAGTTGTCTGAATTATATTAGTTACTGAATTACATTGACATATGTTTCTTGTGTTTTCTTGTGTTGTCAGAAGTTGCACTTTGCTCTGAACCTGTACAAAGATTGTTGATAGCGCTAGGTTTTCAACCAACAGGAATATTAATTCTCAATGCCTTATATTTCTTATATTTGTTGAGTCAGTATTTATTGACTAAGGAGTCAAGTCCTTAACATTTGGCCTGTTAGGAAAACCATTTTACTGATCGTTTACTCCCTCCCTGCTACTGCTATTCTTCCTACCCTTCTGTCTATGTTGTTGTTTCTGGCCTTAACTTGAAAATACAGAAATTGAAATATGAATTTATAATAATTCACTTTCTAAACATTGGATTTTACGAGAGCAGTAGAATTAAATGAGCTTTAAAACATAATTGTCTGGTTTTTATAATTTTTCTTAGCATGAGCCTGACTACATTGATTGTTTTGGTTGCATACACACACAGCTTTTCCCATGTGCTGTTTTACTCTTACGTCCTCTGTCCCTCCCTTCCCTTCTCTTCTTTCTGTACTGGCTGCTGTTATATGAAAAGAGGGAACCTCACTTGAGAAAATGCCTCCATGAGATCCAGCTGTAAGGCATTTTCTTAATTAGTGATTGATGGGGGAGCCCAGCCCACTGTGTGTGGTGCCATACCTGGGCTGGAGGTCCTGGGTTCTATAAGAAAGCAGGCTGAACAAGCCAGGGAAGCAAGCCCCTAAGTAGCATCCATCCATGGCTTCTACATCAGCTCCGGCTTCTAGGATCTTGCCTTGACTTCCTTCAATGATGAACCGTGCTGTGAAAATGTAAACTAAATAAATAAACAAACTATTTCCTCCCAAGTTTTGGGCATGGTGCTTTAGCACAGCAGTAGTAACCCTAACTAAGGCAATTTCCCTCCCTGTTTATGGAGACAGGCTCTCATGTAGCCCAGAAAGACCTTTAACTTGCTATATGCTGAGGTTGGCCTTGCATCTACATCATTAATTGCAAGGATCATTTATAGGTGAGTATAGCCTCATTGCCTGACTGTCTTTATTTTGAGACACTTTCTTACTACATACCCTAGCATGCCCTCAGTGTTCTCCCTATTCAACCTCTTGAGTGCTGGGATTGTGTACAAGACCACATGTTCTGTTTATCCTTAAGAATAAATTTTTCAGCTGGACTGCAATCCCAGCAACTCAGGAGGCAGAGGCAGGCAGATCTCTGTGAGTTCAAGGCCAGCCCAGTCTACTTAGTGAGTTCCAGGACAAACAGCATTATGTAAAGAGACCCTGTCTTAAAAAATATATCACACTAACATTTAAGCCTAAAACTACTATAAAATGTATGGCTTTTGTTGTATTACTGGGTGCTGATAACAACTCCCAGAATGTTGGTGATATTTATTTATTTGCTGGCAAGAAGGCGCAGCAAATCCGGGCACTTAGTGCCAAGGCAAACAACTTAAGTTTGATCTCTGGAACCCACATAATGGAAGAAGAGAACCAACTCCTGCAGGTTGTCCTTTGGCCTCCACATTTGCACGTGACACATGCATATATGCAAAAAATAAGTAATACATTAAAATGTAAAAAATATTAACTCCTAGCTTGATCCTAATATGATTTTAGATGGTTAAAAATAATTTCCTTTTTTTCTCTAATTCAAAGAAAAATAAATGTACTCTCCTACTAGTGTTAAGGTATATTTTTCAACTGGTAATTTTATTCTCTTCTTCCTTTGTATATTTAGAATACCTTCTATGATCAGTATGAAGAAAGTAAGAACATCCTAATTAATGTTCTCTATAGACTTTTAGAGGGCCATCTCTTACTAGCTAGAAGACAAAGTGAAATTTCTTTAATCTCAGGCTGTATGTTTCCTCACTTATAAAACAGAAATAGTAGTATATTTTTATATACATTTTTATACATTTCTTTATTTTATATACTTAAAGTGTGTATGTGTGTGTACATGAATGTGAAGGTTGGAGAACAACTTGCAGGTTTGGGTTCTCTCCTTCCAGTATGTGTGTCCAGAGATCAAACCTAAGTCATCACACTAGGCAGCAAGTTATTTTTCCAAGTAGGCCATCTCACTGGCCTAAAATAATACTCTATCTCATAAGGCTGTGAGGATTAAGTGACAGGCATATATGAACTATTTCAAACTTACACCTAAAATATGTTTTAAAATCTTAAATGTTAACTGAAGTCATATCTTTCAAATTTCACTGTATTATGAATCCTGTTTTCATTATACATTTTTATTTGCTATGCTTTGTGTCTACAAAAGAAATGGATTGTAAAATATTAACACTGAGTTGGAATTTGCCACTTAGTGAACATTTTAGGAAACATGAAACTAGAATGCTTTTGTTAAATATCTTTGTGCTTTTATTTCCCCTCCTAGTTAAAGGAATAAAATACCAAATAAAACAAGTATGCTATGTAAGTGGCTTACAGAGGTTGTTATATTTAGAGCGTGTAACAGACCTATAAGGTCTAGATAATATTATCCTCATTTTCAGTTGAAGAAGTAAAGGCTCAAGAAAGTTAGACAACTTGTCCAAATTCTTGTCTCAACAATCTGAGCTGAGATTCATTGCCTGACATTGCTGTGGTTCTGGAGTCTGCAGGCATGCATGCAAGCTTTCTCATCCTTTCTTCCATTACCTCCAGAGTATTAGAAAATCCTCGGGGTTACTAGATGGTTTATGCTTCAAAAAAAATCATAAAATAAAAGAACAAACTGGGCATGGTAGTGCATCCCTGTAGTCTAGCACTCAGGAAGATCACACGCTCAAAGCCATTCTTGGATATGTAGTGAAATTTAGGTGACATAGTATAACCCTGTCCTAAAACTAGGTAGCAAATAATAGAATCAAAGACCTTGATAACTATTTCTGTCCATACAGCAGGAAGATTAGTACAAACTTGGAACATTTGTTACATTACATATATGAAAGACAGCAGCAAGATTAGTACAAACTTGGAACATTTGTTATATTACATATATAAAAGATATGCTGAAGGATTAGGAGAGCAAGACAGTTTCTTTTCTCTGTATAATTTAACCCACCACAAAGATTTTAGAGATAAAGATATCATTTAACTAGAAAGAAAATAACATCCTGTCAGTCAGACATTGTTTTTCACATTTGGAATTTCTTCTGAACTATAGAAATGTACAGCCAGCCAGTCTGATTATCTTAAACAATTCAAGAAAATAGCTAACAATATTGATTGCAAGTAATTATAAACAAATGAAGACAACGGTCTTTTTAAATGACTTACAGTGACTACAGATGGGAGGTTTCTGGGTTTCATTAAATGAAGCATTGGTGCAAGGTGAGACTTTGAATGTTAGCGTTGGGAGGCACATCATGACTGTACCACCTGAGAATATGGTGCCCTTGGTTGAATCATTAAATACCCTATGTTTTAATTTTCCTACCTGTAGAATAGGAATGTTAAGATTATGTTTTACAATGCCATACGGGATTTGTATAAATAGTAAGCATGGGGAATTGTGTGCGTGTGCGTGTGTGTGTGTGTGTGTGTGTGTGTGTGTGTGTATTTGTTATACATGCTAAGAAATAAGAAGCCAGTTTATACTTTAGAAAGCTGACTTACCTCTGGAAGACTTGATTCTTGAGTAATCTTTATAAAATTTATGTAAGAAGATATCTAAAATAAAATTGAGGAATGCATAATCTGGCAAAACATAGTAATTAACCATTTTGTTGTTGTCTCATTATTTCAGAGTAAAGATGGGAAAACCCCACTACACATGACTGCTCTCCATGGTAGATTCTCCAGATCACAAACCATTATCCAGAGTGGTAAAAAGTATTTCTGTTTGTTTCTTTTATTTCTTCAATGTAGTTTTTTTTTTTAAACCAAATCTAAGTGCATGGCACTGTGGAATCGCCATAGCAGTGTGTATACTATTAAGATTTTATTTCAAATCTCTTGAAAATCGGCAGAGGATAAAATACCACAAATACATATCATTCAGTTATTTCTATTCTTCCGAATTGTTAATTTCATTTCTTCTCTTTAGAGTAGATAGGAAGGGAAGAGTCTCCCTGTGTAGCTTTTGCTTGCCTTGAATTCATGACCTTCACCACATACACCACTTGGCTCAGCTGTGAATTTTATTTCTATAGCCGTTAGTGTTGACCTTTTACCCCTCAATATTGGTAATTGTGAAACTGCCTTTCTATATGTAATATGTATTAATATGCACTTTATTGAATTTTTCATTTTTCCCTGTATGAGTGCTTTGGAATGAATTCTTTAGTGTTTTAGTTTACTTTCTGAACTTTATTCTTTTGCGTTTGAATTATTACTAGGTAAATTAAACTTTTAAATAGAATAATTTTTACGGCTATTAATGTAAATCTGTATTTCTCAGACCATGTTCTAAAGGACTGTTTGTTAATAGTCCTTAATATATAATTTTTTATTAAAGATTTTGTTCTTTTTAAGATTTCATTGATTTTATTTTATGTACATGAATGTATGTCAGTGCTCCGCGTGCATGTGATGCACCTGATGACCAGAGAGGGCATCAGACTCCCTGGACTCAAGTTACAGACTGTTGTAGACTTGGGTGTCAGTGCTGGGAAGTGAGTCTAGGTCTTCTGCAAGGATATCCTGTGCTGTTAACCAATGAGCCATCTCTCCAGCCCCTTGTTGGCATTGAAAAACAAAACCGTCTGTGGGTACATATGGTGGGTGCACATGACAGAGAGTGTGAAAGAAGGCGTACACATGCTATGGTGTACATGTGAGGGTCAGGGCAGCCTCAGATGTTCGTCCTTTCCTTCTACCTTGTTTAACATAGTTCTCGATGTTAGCAGCAGACTGATGGCCCACTGGCTTCTGGGAATTCTTTCATTCCCACCTCCTAACTCATCATTTGGGCATTTGACTTACACAGATGGGCACTCCCAACCCAACTTTACATGAGCTCTGTTCCTCGTGTTTAGTAGCAGGCATTTTACTCACTGAACCATCTCCCAAAGAACCCCTTTGCTAGCTTTTTGTTGATAGAGCTCTGCAAGGGGAAAATAATAATAAATTCATTATCCAAAGATTTGTAAAGCACTGTGTCTGAGCAGTCAACTTCATGAAGCACAGGATTGCTGTAAAGTGCTGCTCTAAATCGGTGTCTTTTGCCTAGTAGTCTTTAGACACATTGCACTGTAGAACGCTTCTATTAGTTTAAAATGTTTAAATCCTATGCTCAATTCAAAAATCTGTTTTAAATATGAAATTGATAACTCCAATCAATGTGCTGTGAATGAAATTAGTTAGAATTGCAACATCCATTAGTTTATGCTTAAACAGCATTCTATATTACATTACATTTTACAGTATTGGCCAGTATGTATATAACCTGACACTATGTCCTTTATCCTAGGAGCTGTAATTGACTGTGAAGATAAAAATGGAAACACCCCTTTGCATATAGCAGCCCGGTATGGCCATGAACTGCTAATCAACACTCTTATTACGAGTGGTGCTGACACAGCAAAGTAAGTAGTACTTTACTTAGAGGTGGTGGTTGTTCTCTGGTAGGCACAGAAGCAAGTGCACTGAAGGTTTCTAGAGATTTCCAGTGGGAGTGTGGGTTTTATCTTCCAACATTGTAGTAATTGACATGTTTGCTTGCTTTTTTTCTTACCTTTTTTTTTGACACTGGTAGATTTCATATGTTTTATGTATAATTTTGTTTGATTAGCCAGTTTGTCATGTCTTTATATTTCTGTTCCTTTTTTCTACAGCATAAATAATACACTGTTTTGATAAGAAATTTAACTTTTATGATCCCTTTGATTTCAGTCTAGAAGTTACAAAAATTGTACACACTAATGCATTTCTTGGACCATCTGTAGACAGTGGTTTCAGACTGTGCTGTGCAGAGTCCAGGGACTCCCTAGTTGCTGATACAAAGGGGCCCCTGCATCCTCAACCCCATATTAAAGTTACCTTATGAATTTTAAAATATCAATTATTTTGTATATATTCTGTGAAAGTCAAGACCATAACCAAATTGGTGTTTCTAATTCCTGAATGTCACTAATGAACAAATTGTAAACTTTTATATACTCATAAATGATAAGTTATTGTATTTTAGGGGATTTAATTTTACCGCATACAAATACATACAATATTGTCCTTATTTATAATCAAGTTGCTTTCAAACTTTTGCCATTACAAAATGACTGGGATGAGCATTCTTGAGCACAGCACCTTGCAGAAATAGTTTTAAAAGGTGAGGTGAGATAGCGAAGAAGCTTGCTCCCTGAGCAAGTAAATACCTAGAAACATTTTGGTTAGGGAGAAAGGGGTCAAAGATATAAACTGAAGGTGCTGCTGAGCATTCAGCATTTAGAATATAGACCTCAAATACACAGTGAGTCGTGCTGGGTGGTGATGGTGCACACCTTTAATCCCTAGCGTTAGGGAGGCAGAGGCAGATCTTTGTGAGTTCGAGGACAGCCAGGGCTATACACAGAAGCCCTGTCTCAGAAAACCCAAAGATAAAGCAGACAGTGAGTCTAAGCCGGTGGTAGTCTGAGGTTAGAAAGACAAGCTTTGGAAAAATACAGCTGGATAGTTAGGTTAGCACTTTTCGATGACTGGCCAGATTTTTCTCCAAAGCATTAAGAGATTTCTATTCAACTAATTTTTACTTAAGTAATGTTTTATATTTGTATTATTATATTTTTGTGTGTTTAATGAACTTTCTGTCCTATTAATCTAAGGCGTGGTATACATGGAATGTTCCCGCTCCATTTGGCAGCCTTAAGTGGTTTTTCGGACTGCTGCAGGAAACTTCTTTCTTCGGGTAAGTGGACCTCACAGACTGGCCCGTGCCTGCTCACACCTCCCCCCTTGCCCTCCTCCCTCGCTCGCTCTCCCCTGTCACAGTTGTCAGCTCCGGGAAATGCTTTGCTCTTAGAATTACTAGTTGGTGACATGGGATGTCAAGTGTCTAGGCAGCAGCTTCTGTCCAGTGATGGTGGTCTTGTTAACCTGTCCTACAAGCAGACTACCTGAGTTACCTTATTTCATTGGTTTCAGTCTTTATTTTGAGAGTTAAAAGTCCTAATATCTTATAGGCTCATGAAATTATTAATACATAGCTTAAAATGCTATAGCTATAGTTGGCATGAATTCTTGTCAGTATTACTGCAAACTATGATCATTATTCATTGCAATGAATTATTGACTATGTAGCATTTAAATGTTTTTAAATTACTTTGTATGTCTCAGCATATAAGAAAGTTAAATATTAATACTCATGATTACTGAAATAAATTAATGCGGTTTTGGTGAAAATATTATAGAGTGAAACGGATACTCTTCTGAGGTGTGGGGGGGTTGTTGGTGTGTTCATAATACATTTTTATGTGAGTAACTTGTTGTGGTTGTTTTATTTAAGTCTGTATCAATAAGTATTCATATGAAACTGTCGACTCCCACTTTGCATGAAAAGGAATATGAAAATCTCTCCCCAGTATTAATAATAACCACATGGAATGAAGTACATGTGCGATTTTGGAAGGGAGGGAGATGATGAGTGGAAAATCTAAAACCCAGACTGACCTTGAACTTGCAATTGTACTGTTTCTGCTTCCCATGTGCTCAGATGATGGATGTATGTGAGCTATTATGCCTGGCTAAAATGCTTTGAGATATCTGTATGCTGTACACTTATAAATTGACTTATTTAATGTATACAGTTCAGTATTTTTAATATGTTCATGTGGGTATATAACTATAAATTGCATCCTTTGTGGAATCTTTAATTCCTATAAAAGAAATGCCATAATGTTTAGTCACCACTCGTTCAATCTGTATAAAATTACCTAACAAAGTCTTTTATGACTGGCCTTCTACACTTCATGATCATCTGGCCTAGTGCACTTCATGATCGGAAGGCTTCTGTTTGTGTCTGTTACTCATTTCTTTTTCTTGTTGCCTATTATCCCCATTGCACCTTATAGCCTTTTAGACATTAGGGTGGTTTTGCTTTCCTGCTTGCTTACTTGTGGCAGGTTTTATACCATGTTGCCAAGGCTAGCCAAGACTCAAGGGATCTCCTGCCATAGTCTTCTGTGCCGCTGGGGTCTATGAGATGAAAGATGTGAGCCATCACTCCTCGCATAGCCTTTCAAACAAGCAATACAGTACTTGTAAAGTTGCTAGACCTTTTTAGTGAAATTATTTGTAATACTGTGCACTGCTAGTGTTTTTTATTCTTTTTGTACTTAATAAGAATATATAGGTTTGCTTGGGGTTGAAAAGAACAATGTGATATTATTTTTTGATAATACTATCTTAATGCAAAGTAATACATCTATAATATATAAGAGAAGGAACATATTCATTCTTACAGGGTTTGACATAGATACCCCAGATGATTTTGGCAGGACCTGTCTGCATGCAGCTGCAGCTGGAGGGTATGTTAATACTATTCCTATTTCTTTCATGGAAGTCAGGGTTAGAATACACACTTAGTATCCCAAGAACGCCTGGGTTCATTCCAGAGAGAACATAGCTGGAGTTTAACAAAAGACAGTCCAGGGTAGCAAACCTCCCCCCCCTTCTTTCAACTACATCATAAGCATTAAATAGGAAAGAGCAAACCTACAAAAGGAATGTTAACTTTTTATAAGAGAAAATAATCCTTAAACAAAAATGTTTATGAAGTATGGGAACATTCAAAATATTGAAAGTATTGTGAGTGTTCTAAATAGTACTATGTACTCTGCTGTAAATAATTGTATCTTCAGAGGAAAAAAACTTGATGATATACTTGTATCTTGGCTCAGAAGAAGAAATGTTTTGGTTAGGACATTTTAGACTAAATTTTATTTATATTGTTTTAGTTTTGGGGGGTGTGTCTGTGTGTGTTTCTATGTAACCAAGGCTGGCTTAACACTTAAGTCTCCAGCCTCTGCCTCTGAAGTGCTGGTAATATAGGCACACAACACCCTCCTTGTTTGGATTAAGTTTTAAGAAGCACTAGAGGGAAAGCCAGTCAGTTAGTTCTATCTAGTGACCAGAACTCCTAGTCTCTGAAAACATTGTTACCTTAATGCTTCTGATAACTTGTATTTGTGTTAAGTCATTTAATTTATGACTTATCAAAAGGGACATTTTGTGAGCACTTTATTTCTAATGATAGTTCCTTAATATTTCCCTGTTATTTCAAAGAACAAGTGTGCTGAACCAAGAATGTCACCCAGCAAGTCTTAAGTTATAGAGAGGAATTGAGAGTACATGCAACTCACTCCCTTGTTCTTCTAAGTCATTTCAGTTAAAACCTACTCTGTGTGTTACTTGCTCACAGAAGGCAGCAGGCACGGTTTTCATTATAATATACAAAGTTGTTCAGGTTTATAAAAACTAAGTTATAATAAGCATGGGAGCATGTCCTACAATTTTAACTAAGGTTCATTCTGAATTAATAGTGATAATATAGGAGACGGTGGAAGAAATTGACTTACTATGTGTTTTAAAGGTAAAGGAATTTTTTTGTTGTTGTTTTAGTTAATTTGAATTGAGGTTTTTTTTTTTTTTTTTTTTTTTTGGTTTTACAAGACAGGGTTTCTCTGTTTTGGAGGCTGTCGGTCCAGCCTGGCCTCGAACTCACAGAGATCCGCCTGCCTCTGCCTCCCGAGTGCTGGGATTAAAGGCGTGCGCCACCAACGCCCAGCCTTAATTGACTATTTTAAAACATGTAATTCTCCTTTAAAAATATGCATTTATGCTTATTTAAGCCTACCATTTTTATTATAAAAGCACTGATAATTATACTTTCAAACTTTTTTTTCCTGACTAGAAATTTGGAGTGCCTAAACCTTCTGCTGAATACGGGTGCAGACTTCAACAAGAAGGATAAATTTGGGAGGTAACCTATAATACAGTTCCTCTTTAAAGCTAGGTGAAATTTGCTTACTTAATGGCTTGCTTGACCTTTAGCTGTCTTCTGAAATTTAGCTTCATGTGTCACACATCATCATTTGATGGAATCATGATTTGTGGAGTCTGGAGTAGAGCTGGGGCCGGGGCTTATCTTCCCCAATGCACAGGGTTGGATATGACCCTGGCCTTGCCACAAGGAGAAGAGCACACGAGTGCCACCAGTCAGCTAAAGTCAGTGGTTCTAAGTGTCTCTTCTCAGCCCATCTTTCCATTGGGTTCCTCCGATAGTCCTAGCTACCTCTGCCCACCCACCATCCCCCTCTTTTTTTTCTTTAGGATTTATTTGGTTTTTTTGTTTTGTTTTCTTGGGTCTGTCCTGGAATCAGCTTTGTAGACCAGGCTGGCTTCAAACTCACAGAGATCTGCCTGCCTCTGCCTCCCGAGTGCTGGGATTAAAGGTGAGCGGCCACCACTGTCCAGCTAGAATTTATTTATGTTTGTAGGTGTTTTGCCTGCTTATACTCTCATGGAGGTCAAAAGAGAAACATCAAATCCCCTGGAACTGGAGAGTTACAGAACATTGTGATCTCATCATGTGAGGGCTGAGCATTGAACCCAGGTCCTCTGGAAGAGCAGCCAGTGCTCTTAACTGCTGAGCCATCTCTCCAGCTCCATCTTTACCCTTCTTGATACTAATTGTCCTTTTCCCATAATTAAGGTATAGAAATTTAAAACTCCATTGTAGGGCGGGGGAGGAGGGGAGGGAGAGGGAGCTGGGATTGACATGTGAAGCAAGTTTGTTTCTAACATACATTAAAAAAAAAAAACTCCATTGTACCCAAGTGCCTTCAAAAAATTCCTAGTAGAGGCAGGTGGATCTCTGTGAGTTCAAGGCCAGCCTGATCTACAGTACAAGTTCCAGGACAGCCTCCAAAGCTACACAGGAAACCCTGCCTTGAAGAACCAAAAGGGGGAGAAAAAAAAAAAAAGGTGGGCATTCGTGGCACAAGCCTTTAATCCCAGCAATCAGAGGCAAAGGCAGGCGGATCTCTGTGAGTTCAAGGCCAGCCTGGTGTATAGAACGAGTTCCAGGACAACCTCCAAAGCAATACAGAGAAATCCAAAAAATTCCTCCTCCTCGGATTTTTCCAAGTCATTCTTTTGTGAAAGTTCCTACTTCCCATACCTACTTCCCACTACTAAAAAGGAAAAATCGGAAACAAATCTGTGGGTTTTTTCCCCTCATTCTCTCATACATATCCATATAACCCAGTCTACAGGAAGTCAGCTGTAGAAGGATAAAAATCCCATTGTCTATCTAGCCTTATTGTCACTAGCATTTGTAGTAATTGCACTTGAAGCTTCTATTACCTTCCATTCCTACTTATAGTATGATTAGACATACAAAGTACATTAAAACCATTCAGGAAGGAATTATGAAGTTTGAATTTGTTTGAAAGATGTAGGTGACAATATAAGCACTATGTGTCAGCAGGTAAAAACTATGTAAGACTGTGTTTTAGGAAGGGTATAAATCAGCAGGAAATGTGTGCGTGTGTATTGATGCATATGGTAGTACCAATGCAGATGGAAAGTAAAGGATTGTGCATGGTAGGAAGAAATGAATAGAGGAAAACTAAATGCTGTTTAACCCTTAATACTTTGAAGAATAGACTAAGCTCATAAATGTACAAATAGAAGGAACAAATGGCCAACAAAATAAATTTAAAGCTAATTTTTATTTGTAGTAATTTGCGCATTCCATGCAACAAATAAGAAAAGAGGGTTTTTGAAGCATATTCTAATATGAGTTTAAAAGCGTTGTCTTTCCAGGGTTAACTACATTTTAAAAATCCCTGTAATAGCTGGGCATCATGGCACATGCCTTTAATTCTAGCATTGGGGAGGTAGATCTGTGAGAGTTCTATCCACAGCTACATAGTGAGACCCTGTCTCAAACTAATAAACAAAAAACACTATAATATTATCCAATAAGACAAAATAATGTTTTGCTATCATTTTCCTGATAAATGTATTAGACGGGGAAAATACACTATAAGGAACTCTGAACTGAACTTACCATATTTTTTGTTTTTCATTTAATGAAACCATAGAATCATCTTCATTTTATCATCCTGAAATAGTTTCTCTTATGTTTCATAATGAGAGAGAAATTAGCTATGATTATTGAGTCTTTAGAGATTAAACCAGTACATTAGCTCTTCTGAATAGGAAGTTAGTCTGTAAGACTGTCTAGTTTATGCTTCAGTATGGTATTACTGCTGAGGCCCGTGTGGTGTGGATAATGACCACTCCCGTGTGCCTCTGTGGTTTTCCTCTTTGCTTATATTACTCGAGACATGGACTGTGGGGCATTTTGGTTAGTTTAAGGCATATACTTTTATCAAAGTTTTTAGGTTTCTAAATAGAATATGAAGGTTCTGGTTGACTTAGGACTGTTCTGTAACTGAATGTGTGGAACAAGGGTCAGCTATGTTTATGTTTACAAATGTATGTTCCTGCCTTTTATATTTCCTGTATTAATTTGTTCACAAAAGATCTCCACTGCACTATGCTGCTGCCAATTGCAATTACCAGTGCCTGTTTGCTCTTGTGGGATCAGGAGCGAGTGTGAATGACCTTGATGAAAGAGGCTGTACACCCCTGCACTATGCAGCGACGGCAGACACAGATGGCAAGTAAGTACCATGAGGTTAGGAGAAGAGGGTTCTGTACAGTGGCATCTTTATATGGGGATTGTTTCCCTGCACATCTATATCTCCTTTTATATTTTTATCATTCCCTGCATCTATAGTTTATAAAGCCATTTCATAGTTATTATTAAATCCTATCTCCCACGCATCTGGCCTTTACTTGAAAGATCTGATAGAAGATGGTCTTTTCTAATTCTTCTTACAAAAGTGTTTTGTTTTTTGGTTTTTTGTTTGTTTCATTACAGGGTTTTTCTGTGCAGTGCTGGCCAATCTGGCCAACCTGGAACTCCCTCTGTAGACCAGGCTGGCCTCAAACTCAGAGATCTGCCTGCCTCTGCCTCCAGAATGTTGAGATTGACCTGTAGTATAGGTATATATTGCTTAAATAGATGCTACTAGATAGCAAGGCAGGTAAACATTGGTCAAGAGTGATGAGTGGGAAGAAAAGACTAAATGACGTGTAAACTGGTGTAAGATGTCCCATCACTACATCCACTCGTAGTGCTTCAGTATAATACTTTTCTTATTAGACGAATAAACTCACTAAAGACAGCAAGTTAGATCTTCAGTGTTTCCAGTGTTCTCCACGTGTCTGAGTCAGCAAAGAGTAAACATGTTAGAAAGAATAATGATGCCTAGGGAAAGATGCTTTAAAAAAACCTCTGGGAAGTTACATTTAACATAAAAGTCTATCTGTTGTTTTTTCACTTTTTTATCCTTTTTAAAAATGCATGTAATTCAGGCTGGGGAGATGATTCAGTAAATGAAGTACATGACCTCACAAGATTGAGGACTCAACCTATGTAGATTCAGATTAGTAGTAGACATGTGAAATTCTAACACTTGTACCTTGTGAATGGGAATCAGATACTGAAGAATCCCAGGAGTTCCCTAGCCAGCTAGACTGAGGTACATAGTCACAAACCACAAGAAACCTATCTCAATAGTACAAGTGAGGTCTGATACCCAAGGGTGTCTTCTGACTCCCACATACCTCCTGTGACATGCACAACCACACACGTGTGTATACACACAAAACTTTTTTGTTATTATTATTGTGAATGTGTATTATGATGTATATGTAGATAATGGACACACATGCCACAGTGTACATATATATGTCAAGAAAATTTTTAGGAGCCTATTTTCCTTTTACTTGGGAACCAGACAATTTAACTCAGATTACCAGACAATTCTGGCTTAAAAGGATGCTATTTGCCACTATTGGGAGTATTATAATGTATAAAAGTTCTGGAAGTAATTCCTGAGAGACCTAAAGGTTTTAGACCATTCAGCCTAAAAGGGAATTGAGGGTTAGGGTTAGAAGCTGGGGAAATGGGCTTGTAGGGAAGAATGCTTTCTATGCAAGCATGAGAGCCTGAGTTAGGATCCCTAGCACTGAGGTAAAAAGTTAGACATGGCTACATACACCAATAACCAGCACTGGGGGTGGAGGGCAGAGACAGGTGGATCAATAGAGCTTGCTGGCCAGCAGCCTAGCTGAACAATAGTAAGCTCCAGATTCAGTGAGAGATCAAAGGAATAAGGCAGACAAGAGCAAAGTGTCTTCCTCTGGTCACTGTATACACATGTGTGTGCACTCCTGCACAAGACTTGTGTATGTATACATAAATTGGGAAAAAATAAGGGTTAGCATCAGAGTGTGCATTACCTACACATAGACACACATAATTAAAAATACTTTTTAAAACTACAGAGCTAAGGTATCAAGAACTACAACCTGATTCTGGCTATCTTATGAGTGTATATTGACTCTTATTATCTGAATGAGTAAATAACATCTCCTACGCGCGCGCGCGCACACACACACACACACACTCACACACTCGTACACATACACAGGAGGGAGTGAGGTTGTATTCAGTCAGTACTCAAAAAGAGTACTCAGAGACCCTTTGTAGCCACATTTTTTTTGTTTGTTTGGGGTTTGTTTGTTTGTTGTTGTTGGTTTTTCAAGACAGGGTTTCTCTGTATTGTTTTTGGAGGCTGTCCTGGAACTCGCTCTGTAGATCAGGCTGGCCTCGAACTCACAAAGATCCTCCTGCCTCTGCCTCCCGAGTGCTGAGATTAAAGGCATGCGCCACCAATGCCCAGCTTTTAGCAAGACCAATTTTAGTCCTAACAGAGCACTGTTTGAATTATCAGAAACATGTTCCTTTATAATGTTAATAAATAATAGTTTACAAATTTGTTGTGTATGGCTTAACAGCTTACAAAACCAGCTGTAGTTTGGAAAATATCAGGTTGGTAAACTTTTGTGAGTTTTATGTTGTTAAAAGCCTTGTATCTTGAAGATTTATCAAACACAAAAGCATTAGTATTATAGTTACATAGAATTTTATATATTAATTTAGCCTGCACTTTTGAAACAAAATTAGGTTTTTAGGTTTAGAAATTTAGACCAAATTAAGAAAATGGTAGTAAAGACCAGAGACTTACTACCTAATGTATCTAACACATATAATAGCCCTATTGTATGAAACTGGTGATCATTTAGACTTCTTCCCAAATAGTTAAGTAAACAAGCCCTTTTATGTTAAAAGCCTGACAAAATTAACAAAGAACACAAGCAATTATATCTTGGATATAATACTTACATTATGTAATAACGCATATAAAATTTTAATGACAAGAAGAGAACAATTACCAGTATTTAGTTATTTGTTTAAAATATAGGTGGAAAGGCCAGGTGAGGTAGGAGGCAGAGACAGGAAGATCTCTAAGTTCAGACTAGCCTGGTCTATGTAGAGAGTTCCAGGACTGCCACATCTACAGAGTTCCCATCCCAAACAAGTAAATAAACAAAATGTAGGCAGTAAGTTTCAAAAATATATTCAGTACTAAAAGTATAAAGTCCAGCATGAAGCTCCAGCTTTCACCAAATGGTTATTATTACTGTGTAGTGTAGGTTTCTGTCCTGCCAGCCATTCCCCTAATAACTACACAGAGACTTACTGTCAGTTACAGGTGCTTGACCAATAGCTCAAGCTCTATACCTTAAATTAACCCGTTTCTGTTGATCTATGGACTGCCCCAGGCTCATTTACTTCATTTACATATTTCCATCCTGTTTGTTCTGCATCTGGTGGCGTCCCCTTGAAATTCCTCAAGACTCTCCCCCTCCTTTCCAGAATTCTTAGTCTGGTTCTCCTGCCTATTCTTATTCTGAGATTAGGCCATACAGCTTCTTTAGGAAACCAATCATAGTGACATGTGTCCACACAGTGCAAAGGGAATTCCACAGCATAGGAAAGTGTTTTGAGTTTCATAGTATTTCTTTAGGTCCGATTAATTTTAGCATGTGATTTTTTTTGCAATATTTTTTATAATAAAGTATTTAAATGTAAAATTTTGAATTTTCATGTTGTTGCTGCTATTGTGTATAGGTGCCTGGAATACTTGCTAAGAAACGATGCAAATCCCGGGATCCGGGACAAGCAAGGGTATAATGCAGTTCATTACTCGGCCGCATATGGTCACCGTCTGTGTCTTCAGCTGGTAAGAGTTCTGAATTCTCATGACAGGACTGATGTGAGTTTTAGTTTGGACATCACTAAAATAAGACTAAATGATCCAGGAAACATTTACTTTTGTTCTTTAACATTTTCATAATCCATGTACATCTTAAATTCATAGTTGCTTAAGTAAGGTATCTCTCATTCTCTACTTTCTTTTTGAAAAAGGGAAAAAAATTAAATCACTAACCCCAATGTGGTAGGAAATACCTATAATCCTAGTCCTTGAGAGGTTACTATTGCAAGTTCTGAGCTACAGTGAGATGTTGTCTAAATGGTGGGGGAGTCAAGCACAGTGGTGCATCCCTGCAGTCTGTTATGGAAGCTGAGGAAGGAAGGAAGGAAGGAAGGAAGGAAGGAAGGAAGGAAGGAAGGAAGGAAGGAAGGAAGGAAGGACGGACACTGTCTTGGGTCTAGAACAACATGGTGAGACAGTGCTTCAGAAACAAACAAACAAACAAAAAACAGATAAATCTCTGAAGAAGGCTCCTAAAAATCATTGTTTCTTGAGACAGTCACACGTAGAAAGGCTGACCTCAAGCCAGCTGTGTACCTGAGGATGACCTTGAGCTTCTGAGCCTCCACTTCTGACGCCTGAGGATGCAGCATTACACTAGTTTATGTGTTACTGGGGATTCAATTCATATGAACACACTACCAACTAAGCTATACACTAGCAGCTTCCAAATCCTCGCATCATTTAGTGTCTGTGTCTATTGTATTTATTTCTACCCCTTTAAATAAATATTTTCCATACATTTTTTAAGTTGTAACCACATCTTACTTGAAGAAAAAAATAAAAGCCCAAGATAGTTATATTTCCCTCATATGTTTAGAGAACTCCGTAAGATCCTTTTATTTCCCAGTTCTTCTCGATAAAGGGTAATCTGCTTCTACAAAGAAAGCTTACATTTTAACTGTGATTCAGAGCCCTATTTTGCCAAACTGGAAAGGAAGGGATGAGTTAAAATCCACTTCTGTGTGGCATCATGTTCAGGCTAAAGCTTCATTTATAGACATGTACATTAAGCATTGCTTCCCTTCAGTAGGAAATAAAACTCAAAAAAGGTATATAAGAAGGTCATTTAGTGTGCTACTATAAAAATAACCCTTAATCTCATGGGTTACTATGCATCTTTAGAATAAAATTTTAGGCTTTGTATCTAGATGTGTTGTCTACTGACCTTTGTAAAAGACATCTTTTCTGAACTGGAGAGATGACTCAGAGGTTAAGACCACTGACTGCTCTTCCAGAGATCCTGAGTTCAATTCCCAGCAACCACACATTGGCTTACAACCGTCTGTCAAGATCTGGTGACCTCTTCAGGCCTGCAGCCATATGTGCAGGAGGAATACTTTATACATCATAAATAAAAATTTTAAAAAAATTAAAGAAAAAGACTTCTTTTCTGGAGGTAGAGAAATCATGGATTTAAAACAGAAACTACAAAGCTCTATATCAATAAAGATGTCAAATATATTAATATACATGAGTAACTTCGTAAAATTTTATTTCAGATTGCAAGTGAAACTCCTTTGGATGTTGTAAGTATTCATTGACACCCCCCCCAACATTCAAAATAGTGTATTTCTTTATTCTCACTAAAACTAGAGTTAGGCATGTTTTTACATCATATCCCTGAGACCAAAGTGGTAAGAACAGATGTTCAGGAAGGGGAAGTTTTTACCTGATGGAAGAATGTTTCCCCAAATGCCTGGTAATCGGTGATTCTTACATACTTTCGTGATTTTCCTGTCCTGTGCACTTGCTGAGTTACCGACACTAAAGATGAGGTGAGGGGTGGGAGGGATAACTGCTCTGGTGTATTTAAAAGTGTCATTTCTAACATTTGTAAACACCTCTTTTCAGTTAATGGAAACCTCGGGAACAGACATGCTGAGTGACTCAGATAATAGAGCAACAATAAGCCCTTTACATTTGGCTGTAAGTACTGCCTTCATAGTCAATTTGATAGTTGTTTCACTACAGATCTCTAGTATTTACTTGTGTTGACTCAAACTAGTACCCTAGATACTTAATTGGTATAGTAATTATCATGGAATTAAAACTTTAAGAACTTGTTTAACCCAGAAAGTTCTTTAGTGCACTCTTGGTTATCTGCTAATCGCTTTCCTTTAAGTGGTGGTCCTTGGCTCCCTCAAACCCTGCTTTTAAGTGAGAGAATCTGACTTTAACATGAATTTAAAATGTGCTGACCTAATAGAAGAACTGTAATTTGTTAAGCAGATTATATAAACCACACAATTTCTGTAAATTTCATCAATTGTTGGCTTGCTCGTGACCATGGGTGCTGGCTAATTATAGAGTTAATGCTGTTTTACTTGCTCATTGTTATAGGATTTAGGTACATGCTCTATAATTTCCCATTCATTTTCAGATTACTCTTCATAGCAGTCACTAAAACAAAGAGGTTAGAAAATATTAAGTAAAACCCCTCTTAGCTTTTCTGTACTGAAAGAATTTAGTTTTTAAGCAAGTTTGGGTAGAGGACTTTAATCACCAAGAGACTAGAATACATCCCTAGCTACTTATGTGACCTCTGGTGTTAGGAATAGTACTTCATTTAACATAATCACTAACAGTTCAGTAATCCATTTATTTCTTTTCATGTATTCTGTAACTTTTTACCTTACTGTTCTCCTTGCACATGGTCAAGCACTAACATACTGAATTGATCTTTCCCCTCTTTCTCCTCTTCCCCAGCATAGTACTACTTCCTAGTTACTAAATAACTAAGAAGGTGCCTGGCTTAGTTAAGGTTTCTATTGCTGTGATAAAACAATGACCAAAAGCTAATATGGGGATATCTTAGTTACTTTTGCTATTGCTGTGAAAAGACACCATGACTAAGGCATTTTGTAGAAGAAAGCATTTAATTGGGTACTTGCTTACAGTTTCAAAGGTAAGTCCATGACCCATCATGACAGGGAGCATGGTGGCAGGCAGGCAGGCATGGCACTGGAGCACTAGGTAAGTGCTTGTGTACTGATCTGCAGGCAGAGAGAGGAAGAGGAAGAGGGAGAGGGAGAGGAGAGGAGAGAGAGAGAGAGAGAGGAGAGAGAGGGAGAGGGAGGGGGAGGGGGAGGGAGAGAGAGAGAGAGAGAGAGAGAGAGAGAGAGAGAGAGAGAGAGAGAGAGAGAGAGAGAGAGAGAGAGAGAGAGAGAGAGAGAGAGAGAGAGAGAGAGAGAGAGAGAGAGAGAGAGAGAGAGCGCGCGCAAGACTGGGCCTGGTGTGGGCTTTACCTTCTCCAACTAGAACACACCTCCTAATCCTTCCTAAATAGTTCAGCAGCTGGGGAGCAAGCATTTAAACATCTGAGTTTATGGGGGCCATTCTCATTTAAACATCTGAGTTTATGGGGGCCGTTCTCATTTAAAATGCCACAGAGAGGAAAGGGTTATTTTATTTTGCTCATACTTCCACAGTTCATTATTGAAGGCAATCAGAGCAGGAACTCAAACAGGGAATCTGGAGAGGGGAGCTGTAAAGAGAAGCTTTTTCCTTGAGAGAAGCCTTCCCGCCAGCCTGGTTCTAGAGCCGCATCAGTCCCAAATAAACACACAGGAGGCTATATTAGTTATGAAGCTGTTGGCCTTGCTTGTTTCTTACTGGCTAGCTCTGACCTAAGTAATTACCCCATAATTGTTAATCTAAGTATTTCTCTTACCGGAGAATAGTTCCGGGCTTCCTACCCCATGGCGTTACATCTTGACTCTCTGTTTCTCCTTCCCAGAGTCCTCCTGGACTCCTAGTCCCACCTATCTAGATTCCTATTGGCCAACAGTGCTTTATTGACATAATCACAGGACTTCCCCAACAGGGAGCAGATGCAAAGACAAGGAGGGATGCTGCTTACTGGATTTCACCTTTGGCGGGCTCATCATGCTTTGTTAGGACCCCTACGATGGGCTTGACCTTCACATATCAACCACTGATTAAGAAAATGCCCCTCAGACTTGCCTATAACCAGATTTTACTCTAGCATTTTCTGAGGTTCACTCCTCTCAGATAACTCTAGTTTGAGCCAAGTTGACATAAACCCAAGCTAGCACGGTAGATTCTAAAGTCTTCTGCTTCCTCATCTCCTTTACCAGACTTGAGTTGTAAGTACTAAGTCTGTAGATGTAAAGTCGGTGTGGAGAAAGTAGCTGTTGGTGACAAGAAAGGAACTTTGAGCAGATGGCTAGGCATTTTTTGCATTGTTACTGTCACTCATTTCATTTCTTGAGTATTTGCTAGGTGTTAGATTCACCCTTTGGTAAGGATTTAACACGTTAGCAACAGTGGTTTTTGAAAATCTTGCAGTCTGTCATAGAACTATCTTACTAACTAACTGGTATTACTTTTCTGCTCTCTAATTTGACAAGCTCTTCCTTCCCTCCGCCTTTCCCCTTCTTACTCATAGGGTCTTTGTAGCCTAGGCTAGCTTTAAGCTCACAGTTCCTTATTTTAGCCTCCAATATGCTGCAATTACAGCCACGCGTACCATATGAAATGTACGTTCTTAAGTGTCTCTTAGAGTACTGTTCAGTAGCATTAGATCTCTAGAACTCTTCTGTCTCAAGAATTGAAACTCTAAATTCATTGGAACAACAGCTATGCATTTTCCTCTCCCTCTAGCTATTTTCATAAATTTGACTAACCTATATGCCACATTAAAATGGAATCATAGTATTTCTCTTTTGAGTTTGTTTGGAGTGTCTTATTTCATTTAATATACTTTCCCTATGCTGTTCCTCACTTTTGAGCTTACATATGTGCACACTGTAGTTTGTATTCAGTTAGTTTACCAATGGACACTCACTGTTGTTTCATCTCTTAGTAAGTGCTGCTGTGTTCCTTTTTCTAAACTGAAATGAACGTAGTTTTGCAGTTTAATGATTAAACTCAGTGAAATGTGATTATATTGCAATGTTAGCATTTTATATCCAATCCTAAAAGCTTTCAGAAATTTAGTTGAACTAGTTTTTTTTTTTTTATTTCAACTCACATTGTCAGACAGCCTGATCCAGTGGAATACTGGAGTGAGTCCTAAAGAAAGTATTATTTCTTCCTAATGCTGGTGCTAGATATTGGGTTGTTTTTTTTCCTTTGTTCCTGTAGCAGAGGTGATGAGAAAGAGCCCTATAACAAAGCATGATGCTTCCTAGTCTTCATTTTCTCTCCTCTTGATTTTTTTTGTCTAAATACTGTCTTCTGTGTATCCCATGAGATTCGTCAAAGCTCATTCTTGGGGTAGCATGAGTTTTCCCACTTAATATTGCCAAATAAAGTTGGGTGTGATCCTAAAATGAATTCTCTTGTCTACACTCACCTTCTCCTTAAGATAATTAAACTTGTAGATAAATCAGCCTCCCATACAGATATCAGCAAAGCCAAGCTTTCTCTTTGCTTCCACTTTCTGACTTATTTTCCCTTCTTTTAGAGTGGACACCCTGAACCCTGTGTACCTCATTTTCAGTCCATCGCCTAAATGATTTTGACTGTCCTACCTTACATGAGTTCTGGAAATTGGACTTAGGGCAGCAGGCTTGCTCAGCAAGTGCTGTCACACACTGAGCCATTTCACCAGCCCACCTTTTGAACATGCTGCACATGTGCTTTATCATCCTTTGATACTTACTGCTTTAGTCCATCCCTATACACTGTGTGGTCCAGTGTAAATGTATGTGCCATTGACATCAGGGTTTTTAAGGTGAACTGTCTGGAAAGCTTCCTTATTATTAGCCTTACAGCCACAGCTTCAGGGACTCCAGTTCACATCCATTTTTTGATGCATGCCATAATTCAGGCATTGTTACCACCTGTCATTTGAGGCTTTATTATTTACAGAATATGTATTCCTTAATATGGGAGACTGCTGGTGATTGTTACAAGGGGAAAAAAATCTATGATTTAAATTCTCTGGCTTCTTATTATAAAAGTCTCTATTATCTCAGATATAACAATAAAAAACTGAATTTGCTTACTTTACACTTTCCATAGCAGTGGGGTATTGTGCATTTAACTCAGTGGTAAAACTTGCTTACTTTCTTACTTACCTGGTGGTTTCCATTCCCGGAACCACAAGAGAAACAGAAACATACTTGGGGAGTCAGTCTAAATACTATTTTTTTAATTTATGTATTTTTAATTCTAGGCTTATCATGGTCATCACCAGGCCCTGGAAGTGTTGGTACAGTCTTTGTTAGATCTTGATGTAAGAAATAGTAGTGGTAGAACACCCTTAGACCTCGCAGCATTTAAGGGCCATGTTGAGTGTGTGGATGTGCTCATTAATCAGGGAGCTTCAATCCTCGTAAAAGATTACGTTTTGAAGAGAACGCCTATCCATGCAGCAGGTATGCCAGATGTCGTTTATAATCTTAATGTACGTTTTCATACTACTACTGGTAATTGTGTGTACTTTTTATGTTAAGTAGTCAAATGATTGTATTCTGAAGGAAAAGCAATACTTCTTAAAAATCGTATACCAGCTGGGAATTGGTGGCGCACACATTTAATCCCAGCACTCAGGAGGCACAGGCAGGCGGATCTCTGTGAGGCCAGGCTGATCTACCGAGCGAGTTCCAGGACACCCTCCAAAACAATACAGAGAATCCCTGTCTAGAAAAGCAAAAAAAAAAAAAAAAAAAAATCATATACCTCGAAATTGGATTTATGAAATAAAATATTTACATTATCACCATAGTTCAGTGTTCTTTTACTTCTTTATTTTGTTTGTTTTGTTTGGGGTTTGTTTTTTGTTTTGTTTGGGGTTTTGAGACAGGGTTTCTCTGTGTAGCCCTGGCTGTCCTGGAACTAGCTCTGTAGACCAGGCTGGCCTTAAACTCACAGAGATCGGCATGCCTCTACCTCCCAAGTATGTTTACTTCTTTTTAATGGAAGTTTTAATTAACATGTACTTTCATGGCAACCATTAATGTCTTAAGAATAATTTTTAAGACTTATTTGAATTTCATGTGTATGAGTGTTTTACCTGCATATATATGTATATGCCATATGTGTGCCTGGTGCTTGAGAAAGCCAGAAAGGTGTCAGACCCCCAGAACTGGAGTTGTGGATGGTGGTGAGTCGTCATGTCGGTATTAGGAATCAAACCTGGCGTCTTTGTAAGAGCAGGAGCTCTCCTAGCTACTGATCCATCTCTCCAGTCCCAAAAGTCACTTTATTTTACTGGTATACTGCATTAAACACTTAGGAAAAGCTTACAGATGTTAACTTCTGTAAGAACTACCCCAAGTTGTAGTTTCATAATTTTGCCAATGTACCAAAAAAATGCAGGGATGTGTAATCAAGTTATTGGTATGTAGGAAAAGACTGGCAAAGGGGAAGGAACAATCATAGAAATGACTCAGTACTAGCAGTATACCAATAGAAGACACAAAACTGGAACAATTGAAAAATAGTAGTCAAGTGTTTTTATTAGTTCCGATCTTTATGTGTTCTGATTCAGTTCACCTTGTGTTTATGGAATAATCCGTAAGAACAGCTTTTTAAAACTATTGGATATTCAGACAAGGCTGAGGGACAAATATTCTAATGAGCATTTAAACTCTTTAAAGATGTTTGTAGAAACTATCAAGTAGTATGAATAAGAAGTCATTTTCTATAAGAATGGAGTCAGCCAGGCAGTGGTGGCACATCTTTAATTCCAGCCCTGGGGAAGCAGAGGCAGGAGGATCTCTCTGAGTTTGAGGCCAGCCTGGTCTATGGAGTGAGTTCCAGGACAGCCAGGACTATTACACAGAGAAACCCCTCTTGAAAAAAAAAAAAAAAGTAGTGTAGAAAGGGGGGTGTGTTGCCTTAGCTGGTAGAGTGCTTGCCTACCGTGTGTGAAGCCCTGGGTTCAACTCCAGTACCACACGAAAGGGGAATGGTAGTACATGCTTACAACCTCAGCACGAAGGTCAGCAGTCCATCCCCAGAACCATACAAAGAAGGTCTGGTGGTTCTCACCTGTAATCTCTGCACTTAGGAAGTAGAAGCAGAAAGATCAGGAGTTCAGGGTCATGCTTTGATAAACAATGAATCCGAGGCTTGCTTAGGCTACATGAGACCCTGCCTCCAAAAGAAAAAGAAAAGAAAAGACTATAGACAATTAGGCATCTATTTTTCTGTCATTACTTTTTCTTTCTTTTTCTGACTTAGAAATAGTGGAAGACTTTCCTTTCTGAACCATGTTGTCACTTACATATTTCCATATACTTCAAGTTTATTACTTGAGACAGGACCTGAATTTTGAAGGAGATATATTTTGAAAGCTCCTATTGAGATGGAAGGAGGGGTTGTTCTTCTGTTTGCCAGTAAGGCTTTTGGGCTTATAATAACATTTCTTTGCAAGATATGTTTCATTTATCACACATGTACCATCTCAAAATCTTTTCAGGTATAAATCACCCAAGCAAATGTGTCCTAAATTGGTGGGTTTAGTCTCATCCCTGTTAGAGTGTGGCGCAGTTCTACAGTGACTGATCCCACAGTGTCAGTCAGCACTCCACTAGATTCTTTATTGCCTCCTGATTTGCATTCGCATCACCCTGTGGAGGGTCACATCCACAACTGGGATTTTAGAAAGAAGGCTTTTCATTATCAAAATTAAAATTATGTGCCAAAAGCTCTCTAGACTTCTCAATGTCTTACTGTTTGGCTCTGGACCTTGTACTCATCATGCAGCAAATCTCTTTCAAAGGAAAATGAAATTAATATGATTGACTTGGTTTGTGACTGACATAGTCTAATATGGTTGATTGGACCCCTTAACAGGAGACAGGTCACTCTTCCTCGTGGCAAGCTAAATAAAATGAGGATTCTGTTAACATGAGAGAGGATGAAGGGATAGGTGTCAATGTGCATTCTGCTTACTGTGTGCATACATGAGTCTCTTAACAGCAAATATAGCACAAAACCTGCTTTGTACATGTAGTTGGCCTTCTGATTATTGAATTCAGTGAAGTTGTCCCAGAATTATATTATAAAAGATGTGCTTACTCTAAGATATTTTTTGTTTTGTTGTATATAATAAAGTTTTTTTTTTTACTTTACAGCAACAAATGGTCATTCAGAATGCTTACGGTTATTAATAGGAAATGCAGAACCACAGAATGCAGTAGATATTCAAGATGGAAATGGACAGTAAGTTTTAATAATTTTTAAATAAGCCTTTTGTTTGTTTGTTTGTTTTTGAGACATCTCATGATGTAACCCAGGCAATTCTCCACTCCACAATCTCACTACTTCACCCTTTTTGGTGTTGGAATTACAGGCATGTGCCACTATACTTTAAAATGCTAGATATTCTAATATTTTGACCCCTATCTTAGTAAATATGTCATAGTTTGTAACTGAACCATAAATACATAACAAAGTTATGTCACAAGTGAATATATAGAAAATAATCCAACCCATCATTGCTGTTTTATTGAGTTTTGTAAGTGATAGCACTAAACCTACTTCTGTTATTATTCAGGACACCTCTTATGCTGTCTGTTCTCAACGGACACACGGACTGTGTATACTCACTACTGAACAAAGGAGCAAATGTAGATGCCAAAGATAAGTGGGGAAGGACAGCATTGCATAGGGGGGTAAGCCAAAATTAAATTAACTAAAGATGGTCCATGGTGCCCCACATGATGGATTTAATACACCCAAATTGTTTTTGCAGGCAGTTACAGGCCATGAAGAATGTGTAGATGCATTACTTCAACATGGTGCTAAGTGCTTACTACGGGACAGCAGGGGTCGGACACCTATACACTTGTCAGCTGCCTGTGGACACATTGGAGTTCTTGGAGCCCTTTTGCAGTCAGCAGCATCCATGGATGCAAATCCAGCCATAGTAGACAATCATGGGTATACAGCACTTCACTGGGCTTGCTACAATGGTTAAGTATCCCATAAAAACCTGGTGAAGGCAAAATTTTTTATTGGCTGATTTTTTTTTAATGTTATCAGTGACAACTATTTAAAAACCATGTCACACAGAAGTGTATTTCCAAAGGTAGAGCATTTACTTGTCTTTTGGAGGTTCACTTTCATAACATTTCTTATCTTGCCTGGCCATGGTGGCATACACCTTTAATCCCAGCATTTGGGAGGCAGAGGCAGGCAGATCTCTGTGAGTTTGAGGGCAGCCTGGTCTACAAAGCAAGTTCAGGACAGCCAGGGCTGTTACACAGAGAAACCCTGTCTCAAAAGAAAAAAGAAAAAAAAATCCTATCTTGTACATTTTGTACAAGAAACAGAATTTACACAAAGAGCATACCTGGTTACCATTAAAAAACAGGTGTGTCTGATTTTTTTTTTCCATAGAAGTAAAATTGTAGTGTCAGAATTGAACTGGAAGAATGTATGTTAGTTCGTGCAATAAAAGACCATACAGTCTAAAATTAAATTAATGTCATATTTTTAGCCAAATGCCTGCTAATTTGTGGAATATATTAAATGGTTTTATTCTGATTAGTAATTTTTGTACAGAAAGTACTCAGGGGCTGGAGAGATGGCTCAGCAATTAAGAGGACTGGCTATTCTTCTAGAGGACCTGGGTTCAATTCCCAGCACCCACATGGCAGCTCACAACTGTCTGTAACTCCAGTTCCAGGGTACCTGACACCCTCATAAGGATATATGTGCAGGGAAGCCACCAATGCACATAAATTTTTTGAAAAATGGAATTACTCTAATTAAATCAAAACAAGCTTGTCTCTCAAAAGGAAATGATGACTAGGTTTTAGAAAAGAACTGGCTCTATAAAGTCCAGAATTTCAAATTATAGTAATTTTCTTGTATACGTTTGAGTATTTTGATTTTCTTATTTATTTCTTTCAAAAGCTGATCAACTTTTCTTGACATTCTTAAGCACCTTTAGAAATAACTTTCTGAGCTGGGCAGTGGTAATGCACAACTTTAAACCCAGCACTTGAGGCAATGGGGATCTTTGTGAGTTTGAGGCCAGCCTGGTCTACAGAGCTAATATAGCCAGGGCTACACAAAGAAACCCTGTCTCAAAAAACAAAACAGAAAAATAATTTTCTGAACTATTAAGAGAAATGCTGAGGTTGTCATCTTGGTTCTACCCAGTGCTGGTCCCTGGATAGCAGATGAAGCACTCCATACACAGCTCAGATAGTGGGTCTCTAACCCTGGGTCTCAGGGCTACTGATAACATGTGCATTGTTAATGGGACCTGAGAAGTTTAAAGGTCTTTATAAGAGCAACTTTTTGAGGAACTGGAACATGGCTCAGCAAGTAAAGTGCCTGCCACTGTGCCTGACAGCCTGGATTCGCTTCCTGGGAACCAACTCCTAAGCTAAGAAAATCTGAAGTTTTGATTGGGATTTATTATTTTTATTTATTGTTGAGTGTTATTTTTTGTTTCTGTTTTTAAAGTGGCTTTTAAAAAAGCTATCTACCTACTTCTTGTATCAGTCAATATAGTTTTCCTTTTTCACAACCGTGTTTTAAGAAATTGTCCTTTGCTTGTTATTATAGAAAGATAATACAGTTCATTAATTGAAAAGGAAATTTGCAGAACAAAATATACCATTTGAGGTATAAAAAGAAAGAAAATAAGTTTGTACAGGCACTTTGTAGAGCTATTGAGATCTCTGGTTATGGTCTAAAGAGTAGATATGGGATGGAGCAGAGTCTTGAACGTTCTCCTTCTAGATACTTCTGTGTATTTGAGATTGTTGCAAGTATCTCTTGGATTTTAATATCCAGTTCTTATGTACCCATTAGGTCATGAGACATGTGTGGAACTACTGTTAGAACAGGATGTTTTCCAGAAAATTGATGGAAATGCTTTCAGTCCATTGCATTGTGCTGTGTAAGTAAAGTCATAGTGAGTCAAGTTCCCTGGGGTGTTTTAGAAAACACTGTGGCGGTGAGACTGATCGCCTTGTACCTTGTCTAGGATCAATGACAATGAAGGTGCTGCTGAGATGCTTATCGATACCTTAGGAGCCAGCATTGTGAATGCCACAGATTCAAAGGGAAGGTAAGAAAGCCCTGTAACTATTGACCTTCTATTCGGGTGCTTACAGAGAACTCAAATCTAACTGAAAACAGGATTTTGCAGATGTTGTAAATTATTGTAAAGTCTTAAGTTCTCTGCATTATTATGACATTTCATTTTTTGTCATTTTATTTTAAAATATAAACATTACTTCTAATTTAAGAAGTATGATTTTAAACCCAAAGAAAATTGCTTAAAAATGTAATAGTTTTCTAAACTGAATTAAAAACTGAAAGAAGAGTCTAACCATTGTAATAAGTAATAGTTTGGGAGTAAACTATTACCCCTTTTAAGTTTTCTTTAACAATATAATATATTTTAACAGTACTATATTATATAGTTCATCCTTATTTTAGGCATTATAGTTTAAGATTATATTAAATATACATACCTAAAAGTAGAAATTTGTGAGTTTCGATTTGTATCTTAACAATACTTTTATAACTAAATTCAGGAGTAATATTTCCAGTGTATGTGCTGTTCAGCTTTTGTTCTATATTTCCCTGTGTCCCAGAACGCCTCTCCATGCCGCTGCCTTCACAGACCATGTAGAGTGTTTACAGCTGCTGCTCAGCCATAATGCTCAAGTCAATTCCGTGGACTCTAGTGGAAAAACACCGCTCATGATGGCTGCAGAAAACGGACAAACCAATACAGTTGGTAAAGAAACTGTTTAGAGAAGGCTGAGGCAGTAGGACTGCCTTGAGTATGAGGTCTGCCTTGGCTACATAATGTCTCCATAAGAAAAGAGAAATTGTGTAGCACCTGCTTAGTGTGCACCTATAACTCAGCTACCCAAGAGCCTGCCAGAAGATCGCAAGCGTAAGGCTACTCTGGGCTGGGTAGTAAAGCACAGCCCATGTTGCTTTATTTATTTTTTTTCAATTGTTCTATGTGTGTAACTTAGATTCCCAGCCCTTCTGACTTCCATGAATTCTCTCACCATTCCACATTTTCATTTTGGAGCATTGCCTTTACTGACTGAAAATTTTTCTTTATCAAGGTACTTTAACCTCGCGGTTTGGCAACACTGACTCTGGGGTCAGAGCATGACTCTAAGTCCTAGATTTTAAGTGACCTCCTGCCTCAGTTCTTTCACTTGTGAAGTGAAAAAAATTATAGCATCTACCAAAAGATTGATGTGAGGGTTAAATATAACCCATAAATCCAGGCATATAAAACTTTGAGATTTATTAACACTCCAAAATACTAATTATTGTTGCTACCATCTGATTTGCACAAGAATAGAAAAGTCTCTTATTATATGGTAATATATTGTGTTTGTTGTGTATTATAGTGTTTTTCTTGCAATTAAGTATTTGCAAGAGAGGTATTTTTTGCTGTATGTCTTCATTTCTCTATACTGAGTTATTGGTAGTCTCAGAAACATGTTCATAAACATAATAATTGATGCCCTTTTCCCTCCCAGAGATGCTGGTTAGCAGTGCTAGTGCAGATCTAACTTTACAAGATAAGAGTAAAAATACCGCCCTTCACTTGGCTTGCGGCAAGGTATGGTTATAGTTTAAGGATGTATTTTCATGGCTACTATTGAGTGAAATTCAGTTTTTCCAGCTCACTAAAATGAGCAGAAGTCAATACCAAACCTAAGTTTCTTGGGTGGGTGGTGGGGGGCGTGTTGGCATACTAGGTTTTGATATACAAGCTTAACACTTAACTATTATTGGCCTGTCTTATTCTCATTTCTGATATCTTTGAACAAATATTTCAGACATTAGCTTATAAAAATCATGAGCTATGTAATTTTGTACATATGTTAGAGATGGTTTATTCTTAATAGTGTGCTGTTTTTAAGAGCTATTTGTCCCAATTTTAGGGTCATGAAACTAGTGCCTTGTTAATACTGGAAAAGATAACAGATAGAAACCTCATCAATGCAACCAACGCAGCCTTGCAAACGTAAGTACTTTGAGAATCTGAGTAAACTTTGTGCTCTCTATAATTCTAAAAAAGGATAAATGAACTTTTTAAAATGTGACCAGTAATATAGATCAGTTACAAACTGTTTAAACAATAACTCACTTATGAAATCATACAACTGAAAGCTCTACTACTTTAAAATATTTTGAACTGAAACTTTATTACAACTTTGAATTTTTACTTATATAATTTTAAAAGGGAAGTAGTGCTATTTTGTGTAATATCAAAATCAGCTGAAAAGTGCCATTTTATACTAGCAGCAAATGAGGTAAGAAGCTCTCTCTCTCTCTCTCTCTCTCTCTCTCTCTCTCTCTCTCTCTCTCTGTGTGTGTGTGTTTATATAAATTTAAAGAGGTTTCAGAACGAATTGGTCTCTTAGTATAAGCAGTAAACTTTGAGTTTAACTGACAGAGATCTTAGTTAGGCCCATGTCTCCCATTTTCATCTTCCAGTTTCCATTGGTTATAAAAAAGAAAAAAAATGCTTGAAATAGTTCACATTCTGGGTTCAGTCAAATCCCTCAGACCCAAATGTTAGTCATGGGCCAATAAACATCTTTTAAAGATTATTAGAATTTATGGTATTATAGGTTATAGTTTTTATTATGTATTTGTTAACCTCATTTCTTACTAAGTTAAGACTGTAGTTCACCCAGTCACAGTGGGTATCTAGTTACACCTAAGATTCAGGGAACATTGTGGAAGAGGGAATCAAAAGATGGGAATTTTTTGTGAAACTGCATCTTCTGGTAAAGTCAGAAGCTACCCCTGTAAAGTCTTAACAACATGACCCAAATAAGGACAGTAACAATAGCCTTTCCAGAGTGGACCAGGGAAAGCCCAGGGAGAGCCTCACAAAGAACTACTGGTACCTCAGAAATGCTGAGAGTAAGAAATAGTCTTTTCCAAGGAAGAGTACACTAATGTAATACCAGTGGTTGACCAGAAAAGGCACATGCAGTATATACAAGTAGCATGATACAGACTGAACAGGTTATATTTAGAAATATACATATATATGAATGGGATAACAATAAGTAAAAAGAGGCCATGAATTTGAAGAGAGCAAAAAGGAGTATATGGGAGGGTTTAGAAGAAGGGAAGAATAAATTATGTAATTATATTAAAACCTCAAAAGTACAAGAAATTATTAAAAAAAAAAGAGTAGTTCATTTGGTTAACTCTTTTTAAATATGGAATCTTAGAAGGTACAAAGTTTTCAGTGAGGCTTGGAAACTACTTCTGATGTCTAAGCCGGACTCTCTATGGAGGCACTGCTGCCCCTCTCATCTGTATTGGTTGAGAATTGGATGTCTTAATGTTGTGGGATATTTGTACATTACATGAATATGTAGTGCAGTGATTGGTGTAAAAAAAAAAATCTCAATGGCCAGTAACTAGGCAAGAGAGTATATGCGGGATTTGCCAGCAGAGAGAGAACTTTGGGAAGAAGAAAGGCAGAGTCGGCAGCCACACAGAGGAAGCAGGATGGGCCGTATGGAGATGAGTCTAGTGGTACTGAGAAGAAAGTATTGGTACGCGTGGTACCCAATGTGGGACACAAATTCTTATCTTTAGGTCTTCACAACTTGGCCAGATGCTCTTTGTAGCCAGATATGTGTCTGTGCATGAACTACACATATATGTACAATTTTTTCCCACAGGCCTCTGCATGTTGCTGCCCGAAATGGGCTAACAATGGTTGTTCAAGAGCTTCTGGGGAAAGGAGCTAGCGTTCTTGCCGTCGATGAAAATGGTAAGGGAGCACTGTGTACCCTGCCCTTGGCCAACTTCTTGGTAGTTTTCCTCTTGATGGTGCATCTTTGAAGTAAAATGAAGTTTGGTGCTATTTGTATTGGGCAAAGAAGAGCACTGAAATTAATACTGAGTTTTTTGTAACAAGAAATAAGAGCAAAAGAAACAAGGAAAGTCCATCTGAATTTATGTATTGTCTGTTAAGCCAGATGTGATGTTTGCTATTTGATCATTACTATTATTTATTTTGGTAGCCAAAGATTTTGTTTTTTCAACAAATATTTACCAAGACCCTACTAAAACGTATTCTTAGACAAAGCCTTCTACTCTTACATTAGGTTCTGTAACCTTTTTCCTGTCAGAGACTATGACTTTAACAATTACTCCCTATCGATATATCACTATGTGTTTGCGGTGTTGGAATCAAATCTAGGGCCTGTGCATATTCTACAAGTGCTCTACCCGGCCTCCCCAGTCAGCATAAAGATACTAGTTGTGTACCTCAGCAGCCAACCTCACAACTTTTTCAGCCACCACTGTAGACGGGCCTTTGTCCCCACCACACTGTAGAACTCTTCTCATCAAGGTTCTTGGTTCTCCACAGTATTAAGTCAGTTCTTGTTTCACTTGGCAGGTCAGCTTTTAGTATGTGACTCCTTTTGTCTTGATAAACTTCCTTTACTTGGCTTTTAAGGGCTCTACACTAATAGTTCTAATATCTAATTATTTAATGATGCCCTAAATTTATGTTGCCTGCCCACAACTTCCCCAGTGTTTGCATTCATATATCCAACTGCTTTATTAATAATAACATATAGATGTCTAATAAATAGAACTGTCAATGTTTTTCCTTACCGACTCCAAACTTTCCCTTCCAGCCGTGATTTCAGTTGAAAACCAGTCCTTTCTTTATAGCTCAAGGCAGGAGTTTGAATTGTCTTTGGTTCCTCTCTCATGGCTACTGCACCAGCAAAAGCTACTCATTACCTTTAAAGTAAATCCAGTGTTTGTCTCTTTCTCTCTGCTTACTACCCTCACAGATATTTTTAAAACACATCGTATTTCTCCTGTCAGCTTGTTCATAGTTCTCACAGTGACCTACAAAGTGATCTGCTCTTAAGACCTTTCTGCCTTGTTTCGCTCCTCCAGCAAAACTACCATAGAGTCTCTGTGTACATTATAGTTTTGTTTTAGCTCTGTCTTCTGCCTGGAACACTCTGACCTGCAAGTATTCTTTGACTAAATCCTTCACCTCTTTCAAATCATTGCTTAGTTTTTATCCTCTCCATGAAGCTAATTAACTGTATTACAGCATTCATATTCCCAGTTAGCCTGTTCATCTCTCATTCTGGGTAAAGCTTATTATAGTCTAACTTACTGAATATGGTGTACTTTTTGTGTTGATGTGTCTCTCCATAAAAGCAGAGAATCTTTGTCATCCGTGTTCACTGATGTTTCCTAAGTATCAGAAGAGTTCGGGAAATCAGTGGGTGTTTGTTGCATGTTTAATTATGTCAAAACTGTTAAGGCTGAGGCTTCTGTGTGGAATAAGTATGATGTAGTCTACTCCCTGTCAAGGAACATTAAAGAATCTTAACCCTTCCTTACAAGATCTGATCAAAGACACTCCAAAACATCAGCAAGTGGGAAGGGGACCTTTTTTATTGATGATTTTTTCATGTAATGTATTTTGATCATGTTTTTCCTTCCCAATTCCTCCCAGACCCTCCCTACCTCCCTACTCATGGAATCTTATGTGCTCTCTTGCTCCTCTTCCCTTCTTCCCTCCTCCCCCTCTCTCCCTCTCTCTTCCTCTCCACCTTATCCCCTGTCTCCTTAAAAATAAACAGAAAAGACACACACACAATGGAAATCAAAACAAATAAGCAAAAGAACAATAAGACACACACACACACACACACACACACACACAAAAGGTTCAAAGCAAATACTCAAGAGGAAACTGCAGCAGAGGTATCTGAAACATTGTAAGTCTGGGCCATCCATTCCCAGGGGAGATTTTTCAGGGGTCTTCCTCCATCAAACCTTATTTTTCTTAACCCAGAATGAATTTCAACCAGCCTCTCATTTCTTGTGGAAACAAAAGCATATCCTCTTCTCCAAAGTAATATATCTTTTTATTTAAATTTCGAAGCCAAGGCATTTTCAAAATATATAGGCTGAGTTACCAGCAACATTTATAATCAAATGTCTCTTTGCAGCTGTGCCCCTTCCTCGCTAGTCAAGCATTTCAAAGACAACATGATAACATATGGTGTCCAGACTCTCTGTGTCTTTTCCATCTTTACACGGCTTTTTCATATTACTTCATTTTAAGGACTTTATTATTTTAAGACCATATATTTCTTTTTTATGACTGTCTATACCTTCTCTTTTATCTCCCAAGCCTAGGTATATTTTTAAGCACACTGTAAACCATTTAGAGGTTTTGGGGCTTTTGCGGGGTTTTTTGGGCTGAATCTAACTTTATTCCGTATCTTTTTCTGACCACATGAGCATTTAAACTGATGAGTGGGTGTGGCTAGGACTAAAGTAGAGGCTTTGGGAGCTGGCTTTGCCCAGCTCCTTGGTTTATGAGAGCTTAGCTTCATGGCAGAGGTACTGATGGGAGCCATGTTTGTCACCTCAACTCTGGGGAGTTTCTGTGTCCACACTGCCACCAAGCAGCATGCCACTGGCCGCTTATGAACACCTTGTAAGTGTTTGGTAGCAGGGCCTCTTAAAAGAGCTGCACAGTTTTCTCCACTGACGCTGAGTCTCTTAAAGGAGCCAGGCCTCTGCTTGCCACCAGCAACAAAGTCTACCCAAGAAAAACCTGTTGCCAAGAAGGTGGGCTTGATTCTGTTCTTTTGTGTGTTTAGAATTCTGTTTTTTTCTTTTCAGAGTAGATGAGACAACTAGTATTTCAGCAAATGAGACAAAGAGGTCTACAAAATATAAAAAATATTTTTATATTTAATAATACAGAAATAATGGTTGTTGACCAGCTAGCTATCCATGGGCATGGGGCCTGCCCTGAAATGTGGTTAGTACACTGAGTGGAACTGGTGGAAAAAAATAATTTTCCTTTTGTCAGAGGATATAAATTGCGGGTCACTTCTTGGCTAGAGGTGGGAGCCCTGTCTACTTTCCCCTGTCAGTGCTGATACCCCATTTGTCTTGAAATGTGCAGGCTTTGTGCATTTACACACAGTACAAGATAAGAAAAAAATCTTATCTTGTACATTTTGTGCAAGAAACAGAATTTACACAAAGAGCATGTGTACTAGTTCTGTTGTGTCTGGAAGACATGTTCCATGGAGTTATCCATCTTTTTTGGGTGGGCGGGGGGTTGCAATAGGGATTTTCTGTATAACAGCTTTGGCTGTCCTGGAACTCCCGCTGTAGGCCAGGCTGGCTCCTCTTCCAGCCTCTCCCTCCTCTTTCACAGAGATCCGTGAGCCTCTGCGGGAAGAGGTTTGAAGAAGACATCCCATTTAGTATTAAGTCCTCTACAGTCTCACTTTGCATACTGTCCAGTCCCAAGTATCTGTGTTAGTTTGGGAGAGTTGAGATGAGTGCAGATGCTAGATCAGGTTGTGAGGAGTCTAAACATTACAAAGATGGCACCTAGTCTGCAAGGAGAGCAGCAAGACCAGAATGGGGATAAGACTTAGAGGCATAAATGGCCACCAGCATTGGGATGAGGTACTTAGAATGAAAAATAGTGTGTTTTTTTTCTAGAGTCTATGATCATAGGTTCTTTGGGATTTCGTGAAGGAGTGATGAGGTTTTGTAGTGAAGTCATAGCCACTGTGACTTGGGAAACTTGTGTGGCATTGAACCAAGAATACCCTGTGTTAAGTTTATCTGGGGACATATGGAAAGCTGAATGAAACTGAGCAATTAAATGTGTGGGTCTGAATCATAAAAGCAAAATCTAGGTATTTCTCCTTGTATAGATTAAAATAAGGAGCATTCCTGCAGACAACACGCCAAACCCTCTAAAAATTCCTCCCAAGTTGCCCTTAGCAGTCACGGCCTGCTCCACCACAGCAATAGAAAGTTAACCAGAAGAAGAGGCAGACTACCTCGGTTAAGTACTGAGCTGAACTCAAGAAAGCCAGTAACAGAGAGGGAGGACTGATGACCAAAGGGATTAAAACTGGGCTGGTTTAACCCCCAGAAACAGCTGACCTGACAAAGGTTAACTCTTGAATCCCAGGCATCAGCCTGGGAATCCAGCATGGGACTGATCAAGACCTCCTGAATGTGGGTGTCAGTGAGGAGGCCTAGGGAATCTATTGAGCCTTGGGCAGAAGATCAGTACCCATCCCGAGTATACACACGGACTTTGGACTCCCATCCTACAATGTGAGGTGCACTCTCACCCTGAACTCTTGGGGAAGGGTCTAGGCCCTGCCCTGTATGAAATGACAGACTATGGACACCCCCATGGAGGGCCTCATCCTCCCTGGGGAAATGAGGGGATAATGGGGGGGTTGGGAGGAGGGCACGGGAAGAGGGGAGGGATAGGGAGAGGGACCTGGATCTGACTTGTGAAGCAACCTTGTTTCTTATCTAAATTTAAACTGAAAAATAAATAAATAAATTTAAGAAAAATAAAATGAGGGATACATAGTTCACGTTATGTGTGTCTTTGTAGACTGTTGTAGGAATTCATCTTGTCTTTGTAAGAAATGAAAAAGTGAGGCAGTGGTGGTGCACGCCTTAAATCCCAACACTCAGAGGCAGAGGCAGATGGATCTCTGAGTTTGGGGCCAGCCTGGTCTACAGAGTGAGTTCCAGGACAGCCTCCAAAGCAATACAGAAAAACCCTGTCTCGAAAGAAGACAGAAAAGGGTGTGCATGTTTTAATTAAATTACTTTCTCAAAATGTGTGAGCAAGTGCTTCATTTTTAAGGCTCTTCTGAAAACGTGAAGATGCCAGCTATTGTTACCCTGATGCTAAGCAGAGTCATCATAGACAGGACATGATGTCCTGAATGCGTGGGAACACATCTCTCATCATTATTTGTAGGCTCAGGAACCAGAAACCCCTCTTCTACATGTGTGGTTACATGAGAAACTCCTTGAGAACATTCCACACATATATATCCCACAAATATGTAACACATTCCTTCTTTTTCAGAAAACCCACCTCAACATCACTAATCCCATTCTTGGGAGTAAACAAAGGCACAGAATGTGCTGGCCTCTTCACCTTGTCTGTTTAGTCTTCAGAACATAATTGTCATCGACCTGTTGTCACTAGACTGATGTCCATCTACCACAACACACAATCATAAAATGAGGTGACATCTATTTAACTTGTGAACTGAAGCCACATTGCCGTGAAACATGTCCAGGGGTGTTAGAGGATAACTAGGTCACCAGTGGGGAACCTTCAGCAGAGTTATCCTCCTGTTTTATGATTGTGTCTCTTTCTGCTCACCAGAAAACTGTGAATCAATCTGTCGGAATAATTTGTTGTAAGCCGTAGAATCTATGTGTAAAGTTTAAGACCTTTAGACTTAACTACCTCATGCTTCATAGATCTTAGGATATTAACTTTTACATTTTAAATTGAATCCTAGGTTACACCCCAGCTTTGGCCTGTGCTCCCAATAAGGATGTGGCTGACTGCCTGGCTCTCATTTTGGCCACCATGATGCCTGTCTCGTCAAGTAGTCCATTGTCATCCCTGACATTCAATGCCATTAACCGTTATACCAACACCTCAAAAACTGTTAGCTTTGAAGCCTTGCCTATCATGAGGAATGAACCTAGCTCCTATTGCAGTTTCAACAACATTGGTGGGGAACAAGAGTACTTGTACACTGATGTAGACGAGCTCAACGACTCTGATTCTGAGACCTACTGAAAGGCTGAGTTAGAGGTCTAAGGAAGTTCTGACACTGAAACTTCAAACTGGGCTTTTTCAGGAAAAAAGCACTTTTCTTACCCATGCACCATTCATCCTAAAGAAAAATCACGCAGTGAACGAATAGAAGAAATGTGATGACATTAGGAAGAATCTCAAAGGCAAGTTTTGCAAAAGGAACTTCTAGAATCTTAATAATGACTTGACCAGTGGAAAACACATTGATGTCCATTGCTCTGTGGGATTGTTTAATTGGCTTTGCAGTGCCAGAAATTTGGGACACTGCCCCCTGATCTGCTTATACGGGCACCACTGCTGTAAAGGAAGAGATAAAGACACTAGGTTAAATTTTACCCATAAAATTACAGCTAAATTTAAATGCAATAAAAGTTTGGTATAGTAGGCATTATGTATACACAGAATTGCCAAAGGACCAAATAACGTACAGATTTTTTTTTTATTAGAGCGCCATTTTGTGGAAACAGGAATAGGTGAAATGAACCATCAAAAGCAACTTCAGTACTTCTGAAAATGAAGCTACGATTTGGTTTGGTGTTGGTTTTTGTAAGGAAAATATCTGAAAGCCTTCCAGTGCTATATTAAACCATGAGAGAAAGAAGATGTCTTTTTATGTTTTTTAACATAAAAGTTTTAAGATTCCAGTTTTTGTAGAATTCGGACCCAGCTGACTAGGTGCAGTGTGAGTAAGAGTACTTGTGACAAAGATGAAGCTTAGGTCTGCTGCCTGCTCTTGAGTGGCTCCCTTTTAAATTGAACTATCTTTGTTTAAGGAATTCCATAGGGGAAACTCTTTTTGATGAAATTAAAAATCAGATTATTTTACATATTGTATCCCAGTGGTCCTGGGAAATGGGACTGTTTGAGCCTCTGCTTGGGTGGCACACTTTGGGCTGGAGGACTTTGTTGTCATTTATTAATCTTTGAGCTTTGCAAAGCAAGAATCAAACTAAAAACTTTTAAACTTTTGTTATGAGACATCATCTAAAGCTGGTTTTAGATTGTATAAAAACTGGAATTTAAAATTTTTTTATATAAAAGAAAAAAGACATCTGCTCTCTTTTATGGTTTAATGCAGCAGGAAGGCTTTTTTTTGTTTCAAATAGGGTTTCTCTGTGTAGCTGTGGCTGTCCTGGAATTTACTGTGTAGACCAGGCTGGCCTTGAACTCAGAGATCAACCTGCCTCTGCCTCCTTAGTGCTGGGATTAAAGGTGTACACTACTGTTTAGCTCTTTTCTTTATGAAAATCAACAACAAACCATTTGGCTTCATTTTCAGAAGTTTTGAAGTTTGCTGTAGATGATATTTCATAACATAAACAGAATCAAGTCACTTGGAAGGCATTTCTATATTGGGCAAAATTTAAACTACTTCAGGCTTTAGGTTTGACTCAGATCTAGAGTAGCATGTTTGCAGCTTGTTACTGTTGGAGAGAGATTGCCTGCCAACTTGAAGACTGCCTTTCAGGTAATAGAGAAGGGGCTGAATTAGGCTTTTAAACACTTCTCTGGTTCTGCTTTTACTGTAACTGTCACTTTCTCAGTAAAAATGATTTCACATGGGGGGGTCTTAATAGAGCTGGATAAAGTTCCATACATTGCAACAAAATGATACCCAATTCATCTTAACCTTTTTGTATTGTGAAACTGGAACTTTATGACATTGTAAATTATCAGCTGGTTTTTCTGAATATAAAGTGTGAAAACACAGAACAGTATTTTGATCTATTTGATAATTTTGTGGATTTTTTGAAGAATTAATGAGCATGTACATAGAAATAGTGACTGCTTGAATACTGTATTTACTTGCACTCTTTCAGTACATCAAGATTCCTGTATATTTTAGAGTATAATAAAACACAGATGTGAGTTGTATTTAATGAATAATGTATTTGTATCTGTGCATATTACTTAAAATCTATAAAGTTTCTAGGGCATTGACTACTAGATTTTAAGCATTTTTTTCTAAAATATTTACAAAATTATAAATATAATCTCCATCTTTTCTTTATAATATAAAGAAGTTGTAATGCACCCTTCCTAATTAATAGTGGTAGAAGGGTAAATATGCATTTTAAAGAACGCAGACTACATTTTCTATTGTACCTTTTTAAAAAAAACTCAAGAGAATTCTAAAAGTATACCATATGTGTGCTTTCTCTTTCCTTTTAGGAATTCTCTTCTGAATTCCCTGAGGGAATTTTCTAGAATCTCAGAATTGAAAGAGACCTGAGGTTCATCCAGTCTAACCTCTTAACAAATGCAGGCGTCCCTTCTCCAAGGTTGTCTTTCCACCTTGAACACTTGCAGTGACTACCTCACAAGCAGTGCATTCATTGTTGAGCAGCTCTGTTAGGAAGGGCTCCTTAACGGAGTCGAAGCCTCCCTCCTGGTAACTTCTGTCCTGGGCCCAGCCCTGTCCTCCAAGACAGTGTTGGAAAAGTGAGTCCTCCACCCTCTGCCGTCTTCTCTTTCATAGGCTGTTGACTCATTTGCTGAAGTGATTTCCAGAAGGACTCATTAGACACATTGTCTCCACATCTAATGCAATCTAAGGTGTAGCTATAAAGTAACAAACTCATCTTTTAATTTATCCTCCTATGTATGTAGAGACCATAGATCCTGCCTCACTTTCTGTAGATGATGCCATAATGGAAAACATTTGGGAGGTGGTTTGTGCTGTTGCTGGCCAACTAGGAAAGCTATTCCTTTGCTATGTGGTAGTTTGTCCCTAGCTTGAGCAACCCACTTCCTTTGGTGTGCTTTGCACTAGAAGGGGGAATTCTGAAGTACTGTCACAGAAAGTGTTGACCAACTCCAGTATTTGGAATAAATACACAGCAAAGCACAGCACCGTAAGTTACTTTATAGTTACATACACCTAGTGTGCAGAAAAGCCTGGACCTGGTTCTATGGTGTTTTTATCCCCACCCAGAAGGGAAAAGCCTGTCAGCCTTTAACTTCTGTGTGAATGATAATAATCTGAAATACGTGTATTACAGTAATACCAGCTTTTGCTCAAAAACAACTTTGGGGAAATAGTGATGATAGGTGACCTCGAACAGTGCCATTAGTTCAGGAGATCTCTAAATGTAGCTGTAAATTTGGGGTTAATTTGGCTTCATATATTGGATCTTTTAAATGAAATAAAAATTTTTAATGCAAAAATCAAGTGTCTTTCTTTTTTAAACATAAAAAAACGTTTCCCTTTAAAATATGTAGCGGTAAATTATGGCAGGTTTTCAGACACGTGTTTTGCAGGTTGTTTCGGGTGTCAAATAAGCCCAGGCTGGGTTCCTGGTCATTCTTCTTCACCTCTGAGGACTGGCATTACAGGTACGTGCCTCCATACCCACCTCTGACTTCTGTCCTTAAAAATTCAGTGACTTTTAAATAAAGTTATCTTAGAGTTTTGAACTTACCTGAATGAATCTTTCAAATGTATTAAGTGTTTATTCCTTACCTGCCATGTCCCTGGGGGTAGCAATGAGCAGAATAGTGTTGGTATCCTTCAATGACTAATAATTGGATCTTGAGACCGTGTGAGCAGAAAGTGATGAAATGGAGTTAGATAAACGGCTAAGGAAGACAGAACGAGCTGCACGGAAGGGTGGGTGGCCCGGAGGCTGGACATGCGGAGCGGGGGATTAGAGCAAGGGAAGACAGGCCACGGGACTCCTTGGGGTGCAGGGCGAAGCGCTATGGGGCTGCGGTGCTCTTTAACACTCAGTACTCTGAGTGGATAGAGACTGTAAGAAAGAATAGAGAGGAGTGTAAGAAACTATAGGAGCTTAGTAACAGGCATAAAAACCATATAGACATTAACAGCTGGTTGGAGCAACAGATAAAGGGAGCTTTAATCTTTCTTGAAATCATCTCTGCAGGTAAAACTAATAGGAAAAGGCCAGTACAACATTTATCATGTGTCAGGCAGAGTAGTAAATGCTTGAAATACATTATTTCATAATCCCCATAACTGTCCTATGAGGTAGGCACTACTAACAGAATTTAACTTGTGGAAAGGGATGAAATAACTTTTTACCGGGGTGTTAATTTTTAAAACCTGAATTCAAATGCAGGCAGTCCTCCTGTGTCATGATCCTTTAGTAGTCTCTTAACATGTTTGTGGATTTTCTTCTTTTTATCTTGACTTCAAAACTGTTACGTTCCCTTTAGTTTATTTCTCACAGGTCACCGTTTTTAGAACAAACAGAAATTTGGTCACAACTGGTACTGAACACCTGGAACTTGCAAAGGAGCTGAGGCTCTGGGTGTGGACAGGTAAGGGAGGGTGTACTGTCATTTACCCTGTGATGAGGAGGACGCGCTGTCATTTACCCTGTGATGAGGAGGACGCGCTGTCTGCCTTTGCAGGTTGGCTGGCAGAGGCTTATTAGAGGGACTGCTTTTAGCTCAGGCCTCTGCAGGGCTTTTCCACCTTTTAGTCCTCACGTTGTTGTATCTGTGTTCACCCTTGAGCCTGAGTTGAAATATAGGAAGTGACATGGAAGTTTTCATGAGCCTCGAAAGAATTCTGACCACACCAACATGATACATAATCTTACTACCACCCCACTAAGCTTAACAAGTGGCATGGCAAGCCCAGCCGTTAGGATAGGGGAGAATGGTTTGGGTAGTATCCACACCTTGCAGTTCTAAAATGGTGTGTCAGCTGCTTGGCTGCGCTTAAGGTCTTCGTTTCCTGCCTGTTTCTTGTAGCTTTGTTTTCGTGCTCACCTTCCTGTCTGTCTCCTTTGAAACAGTTTCGCTGTGTAGCTAACTTGATACTAAACTTGCAGTCCCCCTACTCCCACTGAGGGCTTGAGTTAGAAACGTGCACTGCTGCCCTGCTCAGTTCTTGGTTCCCTTCTAGTGTGGGTAGGCGCTGAAGGTCGGAGAGCTTTGGGGAAGTCAGATTGACTGACTATTGTTGGGTTTACTTTTTTCCGAAGGTAGAGCACAAATTTCTGACTATCAACCTCCAGAAGAACCTAGTCTTCTCTTCAGTTCTTACAGTGATCATCCTTTCCAAAGCAGAAGCTAGACTAAAGGAGGAATATAAGGTTTGCCTGGCGGCTGCTGTTAAAAAGACGGCGATGGACAGTGCTGGCTACTGCCAGTTTCCACCCTTCAGCTCTGCTGTGTCTGGCCCTGCTTCATCTCCTCAGCTGTTTCTCGTTTCCTTCTGGTTACTCTTGCATTCTGCCTCCTGGGGTTGTTTTCGTTTTTAATTTTTTTATTTAATTTAGAAACAGTCTTATTTTACTCATCAATCCCAGTTCCCTCTCCCATACCCCTCCCACCCCAACCCCACTCCTCATCCACTCCCCTGGGAGGGTGAGGCCTTCCGTGGGGGAATCATCATAGTCTGTCACATCATTTGAGGCAGGGCCTAGGCCCTCCCCCATGTATCTAGACTGAGAGAGTATCCCTCCATAGGGAATGGGCTCACAAAGTCCATTTGTGCACTAGGGATAAATACTGGTTCCACCGCAAGAGGCCCCATAGACTGCCCAGGCCTGCTAACTGACATTCACATTCAGGGGGCCTAGTTCAGTCCTTTGCTGGTTCCTCCGCTGTCTGGCAGGATCCATGAGCTCCCCCTTGCTCAGGTCAGCTGTTTCTCCAGCCTGCTCACGACCCCTTTGCTCATCACTCGTTCCTCTCTACAACTGGATTCCAGGAGCTCGGCTCAGTGCTTAGCTGTGGTGTCTGTTTCTGCTTCCATCAGCTACTGGATGAAGACTCTAGGATGGCATTTAAGGGTGTTTAAGGTAGCCTCTCCATTATTGCTTAGATTCTTGCTTTTGTTTTTAAAGAAAGGAGAACAAAAGGCCTTTTAATTTTTTTTAAGAAAACTGCCTTTTAGCAATAATTGTAGGTGATGGGTTTACTATATTTCTGCCTGCTGTTTTTATTAGAATTTGAAACAAAATTTGAATAATGATTTAAGCTCAAAATATTTCTTCCTCTTTTTATAAAAACTCAAATAAGGTTTTAATTTTAATGCTTATTTTCCACGCTCAAGAGACTTTTTTTTTTTTTTTTGAGACAGGGTTTCTCTGTATTGTTTTGGAGGCTGTGCTGGAACTCACTGTGTAGACCAGGCTGGCCTAGAACTCAGAGATCCACCTGCCTCTGCCTCCGGAGTGCTGGGATAAAAGGTGTGTGCCACCAACACCCAGCTTCAGACATTTTTTTTTAAAGCACAAAGTATATCGGAAGCATGTTCCAAAATGCAGGAGACACACTGGGATGGTGGTGTCCTTGCCCTCAGAGTGCTTATGCTTTGATCAGCCAGACAGAAAAGTTCAGATACATAACTTGCCAGAAGAAATTGGAGAGTAATGCTGACTGAGTCCTGGTATGTGAGAGAAGCCCTTGAGGATGAGAGAGGGTCACTTGTTTACACACTAAGGATTGTACAAACATTTCAGGGGTAAGGTGACAGACAGACGATGTTATTGAATATGTAGAAGAATGTTCAGACTCATGGTAGCAGCAGAGGATGGAAGTCGCCTTTTTTTTTTTTTTGATGTGTTTGTTTTTAAGTATTTATTATGTACACAGCGCTCTGCCCGCAGGCAGAAGAGGGCACCAAATTGAATGACGGATGGCTGTGAGCCACCGTGTGCGGGCTGGGACTTGAACTTGGAACCTCAGGGAAAGCAGCTGGTGCTCTTTTAAGTGATGAGCAGTCTCTCCAGCCCAGCAGTAGAGGATGGAAATGCTGAGCTAGCCTGTCAGTTCCAGCCACAGTATGTTACAGATTCACCCAAGAGCCTTTATCTTTTGCTTTGTTGTTGAGTTTTTGTTGTTTGGGGTTTTTGTTCATTTGTTTGAGCTGTTGTGGGTTGAGCACAAGGCCTCAGATACACTAGACAAATGCTCTACCACAAAGCCCTATCTACAGGCCTTCGATTTTCTTTTTGAGCTAGTTTGTTGTGTATAAGCCCTCTTTGAATGCCTGTTGACTGTACAGCATTAACTTGCTTTGTCTCCAGGTAGCCTTAAGGATGGCACACCACTGGAGTTGGAGAACTGTTTCCAAATGCATGAATGTTACACAAATAAAGGATTAGAGGTGTGAACCACCGCTGGCCAGCTACTAACATCGGGTAAAGTGATCCTTTTCTGATACTCAAAAGTAACAGCAAGCACTGTAACTAACAGACAAAATGCATATTGCATATGAACAGGAAAACTTGCTGCTTATCCTCTGTTGCCTTGGTAGCCTGGCATGAGCCCACATTTTGGTCACTAAGGCACAACATACATGAAAGAAGAGTTCTTTGTGGTTCTGATGGTGAAGCCTCAAAACAGGAAATTCCAAAACCCAAGAGAAAGAAGGAAGAGAACCCAAGGCAGAGTTGCTTCTGGAATAATGGTCTTTCAGCTGAGCAGCCATGAATGTTAGTAGCATGTTAGTAGCTGGCCAGCGGTGGTGCACACCTTTGATCACAGCACTAGGGGCATGGAATGAGGGAAAAGCCTGCAGTTGCCTGCAACTCTGATGTAAAAACTGAACATGAGAACTGCAGTCAGATGTTGAGCATCAGGGTACATGTTCGGGACTCCCAGCTCCATTCTTCCTCAGTGTTAAGCTGCTGTGAAGCTGTGTGCCCAGAGCCTGCTAGAGGCTCTATATCCAGGGAAGGGGCCTATGCTTCACTGCAAGTTTCCAAGCCATGGGAAGAAGGATGGCTGGGGCCATAGTGTCTAGTCCAGGTACCCAAGGGGCTTGAATGTGTAAGGTAGCTGCCTTACCCGAACCCTCGACAGGTACCTCACCAATTGAGTGAAGAGAAGACTTAGGATAGGCTTTCTCATTGCTGGCTTAGAGAACTAGTCTGTTGCTTGCATTCTGACTCCAGCAAAGATAGGTAAAACAGGTAGTAAGAAAAGGAAGGGCCGGTCTCCGACAAGGAGGTGGTGACCAGAGGGTAAGCCTTCATGCTCACTAGCACGTCCTTGGAGTGGACTTCAAGAAGCATGCCTCTGGTCTCAGAAAGTTCAAATCATTTGCTGTCAAGTGTGGAAACTCCAATGTGGACATTAATGCCAGGCCGAACAAAGATCCAGGCCAAAAGAATAATGTATTTGTGTTCGTCTTCAGAACTCTGTAGACAGTATGGAGAACTGTCTATGTCAGATACAGTCATGAAACTGCACACATGATGACAGTGAAAATGACAGAATAAGCAGTTTTGAAATTTACCTCCACAGAAGCAGTGATAAAACTAAGTATGTCAAAAGTGTCCTCAAAAGTAGACATACTAATTGGCTGCCAGCAACCTCCAGAATGTATAAGAACAGCAAGTGTCCCAGCCTTTGACTGGTTGGATCCCTTACTCCGTAGTAAATTGAAAACCAGCAACCCACATCTCTGGTGCAACCTGGCAACCACTAGTCAGCAAAACTAATGCTCTTTCAAAGCAACATTCCTACTCTTGCCCTGTGCTCAAATCTCTAATCTTGTTCTTTGACACAACAATAGGACATCAGAACCAATGATGCAAAAATTGAAGTTGAGGCATCCACTTTTACACTGATCTCCCTACCTGTTAACCAGTAACAGGAGACTAGCAGGTGAGAATGAGCAGTCATAGTTGATCTCAGCAGCAACATCAACAGCTGCACATAGTGGACAATTTCTGTAATTACTTCATAACAGCAAAATACACATCCATTGGAAACACCAAGTAGACTGCATTCTGGAGTATAGAACATGCCTTAGACTTAAAGCAGCAGTAAATACAGAGTCTGCTCTTGGATACTGATAGCATTAAGTTAGAAACCAATACAACAGAAAACATTAGAAGACTAGCACATATAAACCAAGCATGTCTAATGCTGCAACAATAAATGGCACACTTACTGAAAGTAAAAATAAGTATTTATTGTAGAAATTACTCACAAGAGGCCGGGCGTTGGTGGCGCACGCCTTTAATCCCAGCACTCGGGAGGCAGAGGCAGGTGGATCTCTGAGAGTTCGAGGCCAGCCTGGTCTACAGAGCTAGTTCCAGGACAGCCTCCAAAACAATACAGAGAAACCCTGTCTCGAAAAAAAAAAAAAAAAGAAATTACTCACAAGAGACAAACAAGTAACCCAGATGAGCCAAGTAGTTTTCTGCCGCCAAACTAGAAGCTGGAAAAAGAGCTATACTTTGGTTGTTCAGTCTTTTATACCCTCCAAAAGTGGGCCTGGCTAGTGACGTAGTTCACCGCCTACCTCCATATACATCTTTAGTCATGCGTAAAGTGGGTGTGGTTAGTGGTGCGGTAAACCGCCCTTTTATTACCTCATCTGTATGCGCCTCCAATAAGTCACATGGTTAATGGCGGAACACCGTTTCCTCCTACCATGTCAACAACGTAATGAAATGTAAAGAACTTTCTGTGTTGCTACTCAAGTGTTTAAGCATAGAAGTTCCTGGCACTGACTGTTCATACCAAGGGGGGAAAAGTTCTGAGATCCATGTGAGCATTCCACCTTAAGAGACTAGGAAAAGCAGAGCAAGTTAAATCCAAAGTAATTAAAAAGCAACAACTAAAAGTGGAGGCTCACACCAGCAAGCGGGAGGCAGAGGCAGATGGATCTCTGTGGGTTCCAGGACAGCAAGGGCTACACAGAAATCCTGTCTGGAAAAGCACAACCAAAACTAGAAATTGAAAGTAACTGCATTAGCAAGACAGGAAATCTAACAACTGGGGCTTTGCAAAGATGGATAGAAGTCTTTATCACCCCCCTCCCAAAGTCACAGTGAGAAGATCTGACTACCGAGCCCATGGACATGAATAATAAAAGATTGCCAAGAGCAACTTCCTGCAGATTTTATAATCTAGATTAAATAGACCAGTTCTTGAAAGACAATTTGTGAAAAGCTGCAAAAGAAAAATGTGTATGTGCTACATGAAATGAATTTATAAAACTAACAAGAAGTTAAACTGGAATATTTCATGTTCATATATCATCAGTATGAAGATACCATATCCCCCATGTGTAGAGTCAATACAGCCCAAATGAAAATCCCAGCCAGTTTATCTTGTAAGCAAGTTGATTCTAAATCTTGTGTAGAGGGAAAAGACCAGAACCACTCACAGAACATTGGAGAATAGAGAGCTGACAGGAGTTGACTGCATAGCACAATATAAAGCTATGGTAGACTACAGACTACTAACTAGAGAGTATGACACTGGGGGGAGAAACTGGAACAGAATAGAGTTCAGGTATAAGAGTCACAACATCATCAGGTGAGTTAGGGTGATGTGGTAGAGTCAAAGAAAACCATTGAGACAAACTACTGCGATTCATGAACATCTTATGAAAGGCAGTGTAGGCCCGGAGTGTACACACTTGGAACCTACTTAAATTGATTGCAGGTCTAAATGTAAAATTTTAGGCGATGTCATAGGCAAAATTGCAATTGCCTTGGGGTTTGGCAGTGACTTTAGGTACAATGCCAAAGGCACAATATGTGGAAAGAAGCTAGACCGCAATAAAGTTATTAAATTCTGCTTTGCAAAAGTTGACTGTAACAGTATGAAAGGCAAGCCACTGACTGATAAAAACTAACAAAAGACACAGCAGATATAGGAATGTTACTCAAAATATACAAGTGACTTCAAAATCAACTGTAACCCTTGGAAAACAGATCACAGACTTTGCCGAACATCTCACCCAACCAGATAAACAATATTCTCTCCTTATTTGTGGTTTCATTGTAAGCCAGAAAATTTGTCAAAAAGTAGAAGTAAGCGATCCTCAAGCCATTCTTTAGTGTGGTGAAGCAGCTCCCAATCCTGCTCTATCCCAGGAGGGACACAGATCATCCCCATGCCCTACATACCCATGCTGGACACACTAACGCCTGCTGATCACTTAGCCATCCTGGCCATCAGACAGACTGCTACAGTCTCGGTGCTGGTGGTGTTCAACTAAGCTCAACTGTGCCTAATAATGGCCCCCGAGCTAGTGCCGTGCCCTGAAAAGCAGCCATACGATGTTTCCTGCAGCAAAAAGTGAAACTTGCTCAGTGGTGAAGAGTGCTTGCTCTTCCAAAGTTTGGCTCCCCACACCCATATTAGGTGGCTAAGAACTGCATTATAACCCATCTCCAAGGGATCGATCCCTTTTCTGGCCTCTCTGGGCACCTGCATTATAACCCCATCTGCTAGTAAAGGTGATTCCCCACAGTTGGACCTCGTGGTTTTGATCCTTGGGAGTCTAATGAGGAAGAAGAAAGAAGAATCAACTCCCACACACTGCCCTGGCCTCCATGTGTGCACGGTGCATCCACACAGGAGTTTTTTAATACATTGGACGTGAGGATGCGCAACAGCAGGCAGATCTCTGCGCTCGAGGCCAGCCTGGGCTACAGAGCGAGCTCTAGGGCAGCCAGGGCTACACAGAAACCCCGTCTCAGACAGAAAAGAAAAGAATGGGAGTGTCTGAGGGCACTGGCTCGCTTAGCCACCTTCCCAGAAACAGGAACCTTGAGTCCAAAGAAGTAAAGAGATGTATGAAGCCAAAGTCACACAGCAATTTTGTAAGACACCAAGCCTCCTCTCAACTCCCCAAACAGTTCTCTTAAGATCTGGTGTGTCATTTAACTTCTTAATTTTTCATAATGTTACTTTTCAGGGTATTTATGCTTGTTTGGTGTTTTGAGAGGGGGAACTCACTCTGTAGACCAGGCTGGCCATGAACTCACAGAGATCCGCCTGCCTCTGCTTCCCAAGTGCTGGGATTAAAGCGTGCGCCACCACTGTCCAGCTACATATGTCCATTTTACATGTTCAACATACATTGCTTATTCCTTGGAAAGATTTGAGATAGAGCATTCAGGATTTGTAGAATGTAAGGCTCATATTGTATACTTTCTACAAAAAAAAAAAACAATGCTCTTGTGCATTTTAAGTTCAGTTATACTAAACTAATGGTTGACATAAAACTCCATCTTTGTGTTTATAGTTTATCAAAACAGTCATTTGCTTCATATATATGTCGAACACTTTTTTAAATAAGTTTCCTTTAAATTAGAAATAACCTTATTTTACATATCAATCCCAGTTCCCTCTCCCATCCTCCCATGCTCCCCACTGCCCCCCCCATCCCATCCACCATCCACTCCCCAGGGAGAGTGAAACCTTCTATGAGATATCATCAAAATCTGTCAAGTAATTTGAGGGCAGGGCCTAGGCCCTCCCCCATGTATGTAGGCTAAGAGAGTATTCCTCCACAGGGAATGGGCTCCCAAAGCCCATTCCTGCACTAGGGATACATCCTGGTTCCACTGCCAGAGGCCCCATGGACTGCCCAGTCCTCCTAGCTCACATCCATGTTCAGGGGCCTGGTTTGGTCCTATGTTGGTTCCCCTTGGTCCTATGTTGGTTCCCCAGCTGTCAGACTGGGGTTCATGAGTTCGCACTTGTTCAGGTCAGCTGTTTCTGTGAATTTCCCCAGCATGATCTTGACCCCTTTGCTCAGCACTCCTCCCTCTCTGCAACTGGATTCCAGGAGTTTGGTTCAGTGCTTAGTTGTGGGTGTCTGCTTCTGCTTCCATCAGCCACTGGGTGAAGGCTCTAGGATGGCATTTAAGGTAGTCATCAATCTCATTATAGGAGAAGGGCATTTAATAGCCTCTCCACTATTGCTTAGAATCCTACTGGGGGTCATCCTTGTGGATGTCTGTACAATTCCCTAGTGCCAGATTTCTCTTTAAACCTATAGTGGCTCCCTCTAGTGACATGCCTCTTCTTGCTCTCCGCCATTCCTCTCCACTCAGTCTTCCTGCTCCCCCATGCTCTCCCCTCGCCTTTGCCCTCCTCTTTCTCCTACCTCCCTCCCCCATGCTCCCAATTAGCTCAGGAGCTCTTGTCCCTTTCCCTTCACCATGGGACCATGCATGTCTCTCTTAGGGTCCTCCCTGTTTCCTAGCTTCTCTGGAGGTGTGGATTGTAGTCCGGTAATACTTTGCTCTATGTCTAATATTGTATGTCAGACTCTTGGCACAATTCAGCCCCATTTGCAACAGTTCCCCTAAAAGCACATCATGGCCCAGAGGACACATCCTTCTATGTTCTTTTAATGTTTTCAGAAAACTCTGAATTGCAACTCTTCTTTGAAGATACATCAGTTTTTACTGAAAATATCTTCGTTGTTTCTGCATTTGCGGTATTGTTTGTCTTGGTGGTGATGGGCTTGTGAGGGGGCTCAGAGGATGAAGGTGCTTGCCTCCAGGTCTGAGAACCTGAGTTCAGTCCCCAGAGCCTACATGACAGAGGAGAATGAGCTCCTGCAGGTCGTCCTCTGGCTTTCACGTGTAACGGGTTACATGTGCCCCACCCAATTCAATATAGGATTGTTGTTTTTCACTGACTGTTAGCAATGTAAGAGGAAAACAGCATAGTCATGGAAAGAAACTGACCTAGATTACCCTTCGGAATGTGCTTTCTTATGAGAGAGAGCTTGACCACCATAGGAGCCTTGATGGGGCCTAGAGGGGAAAAGCATTAGAAGAGATGTATCATACCTTAATGCCATGGGCAGCACACTGGGACCTCCAAGGGAGAGAGAAGAGCCTTCCGTCCAGATCCCACAGAAAGGGGGCTGGTGACTTCCAGCTCTGCAGCAGGGTAGGTATCTTCATTCCATTTAATCCTGCCTAGGCTGGCTCAGATCTGAGGAGCACAGAGGCAGGCACTCAATAAGACCACAAACTAGATTTGCGGCGGAAAGCTGGGAAGAGGGGTAGAGCAAGGGCAGCTAGAGGGTCTGTGACCTAACAGTGGAGCATGCCTGCAAGCCCAATCTGGGGAGGCTGGGAGCAGAAGACTCAGGGACTCTAAGCCAGCCTGGCATAGTACTACATGTAATCAGTAAGAGTAACTCCAAAAAAATCTTAACTCTCTCTCTTCTTCCCTCCTCCCTCCCCCTTCCCTCTCTCTGTCCCTCTTCCCTCCCTCAAACTGTACTGCATTGTGGAATATTATTTTAACTGGGCAAAGATGGCTTACATTTGTTTCTCTGCTGCCTTTGTTCATGATGTAAGGCTGTGTTATACTTTTTTTTGTGCTGCGTTTGTCTAATTATGAAAAGATGTGTTGCATCTGTTTCACCTAGCCTGCCTAAGGCACCTGATTGGTCTAATAAAACTGAATGGCCAGTAGCTAGGCAGGGCTGGCAGGCAGTGAGAATAAATAGGAGGAGAAATCTAGGCTTGAGAAGAATGAGAAGAAGGATAAGAGAGAAAGGGAGTCACCCAGGGCCAGTCAGGCAGCTGCCAGCTAGAAGAAGCAGTGAGTGCAGGGCATACAGAAGGAAAGGAGAGTAGGAAGCCCTAAAGCAAAGGTAGATAAAGAGAAACAGGTTAAGTCAAAAGATCTACCCAGAAACGAGCCTAAGCTAGACTGAGCATTCAAAGCTAATACTAAGTCTCAGTGTTATGATTTGGAAGCTGGTTGGTGGCCAAAAAGAAAAGGCCTGATACAGTTCTTTATTCTGAATTCCAGCAGTTGCTGCTTTTCCGAAAATGACTGTAGTTTTGCACTCTGCTGTGGTGAGCCCACTAGCTGGCTGTAAGATATGCATGACTTAGAGGGGACCAGGGCCTCTGGAACTCAGCAGCAACCAGGAGAATCATTTCAAACGGGGTCACTCCAGCTTCACAGCACCACTGTTGTGCGGGGACCCACAGTGCTCCGCAGCCAGCAGGGACACAGACAGTAACCTCTAATGTCTCCTCGTTGACCTCTTACAGTTTTAATTTCTTTAAGACTGTCAAGCATGGCCGGGCGGTGGTGGTGCACGCCTTTAATCCCAGCACTTGGAAGGCAGAGGCAAGTGGATCTCTGTGAGTTCGAGACCAAGTCTGGTCTACCAAGCGAGTTCCAGAACAGGCTCCAAAGCCACAGAGAAACCCTGTCTCAAAAAACAAAAAAAAAAAACAAAAAAAAAAAAAAAAAAAAAGACTGTCAAGCAGCCCAAACCATATGGTTCACTGATGCTGACTCTGATTGGTTGCTGCATAACAAGCCATCCCAGAGCCCTGTGGTTCCAAACCAGTCACTTCTTTTCTATGACCAGTCTGCAGCCCGGGCTGGGCAAAACGGAGATGGCCTGCCTCTTGCCTTTAGATACTGCGGTGCCTCTGGGGCCGTGGAGTCTGTTTCTCAGAGGGCAGCGGAGTATTTGCTGGGGCTATAAGTTGGCTGAGGCTGGGGGCCACATTTTCTCACCCTGTGAGTCTGCACATATGGCCTGCATTTTTGAGGAGCTCTTTGTGGCCACAGTAGGAGTGTAGCCTCCACAGTCCTCACGGATGTCATGCTGTGCACCCCAGCTCTGAGTTTAAACAAGCTTTTTGTTGGTTCATGCTTGTATGTTTTTGAGACAAGACTGCACCATGTAGCCTAGGCAGACCTCAGTCTTTCAGTCCCTTGCCTCAGCCTCCTTTGTGCTGGGATTGCGGGTGTGTGCCACCGAGGCTGGTTGAAACCTAGCCCTTTTGGACAGCACTGTAACTGTAGAATCCATTTGGTATTTACTTGAAAGCTATTAAGTTTGTGAATTTGTTACAGTAGCCACAGTTAATCAACATAGTCTCATGCTGTTTCACCCATGAAGTGGTTGCTCGGGCAGGTTTTCCTGGGTGTCAGCAGTAGGCAGTTTTGTCCCTGTGGCATGGGTGGTAGATACTGGAACTGGGCCAGTCTTCAAGAAGGATTTCTTTTCCTTTCTTTCTTTCTTTCTTTCTTTCTTTCTTTTTTTTTTTTTTTTTTTGCTTCTCTAGGGTCCCAGTGTTAAGCTCGGTGTGAATACATCTCATTGTGCTCTTCCTTCCTTTGTGAGAGAAGCCAGCTAGGCACAGCTGCACCTCCAGAGGAGCCCACACAGACTAAGCAAGCCACTTCCCCCAAGCCTGCCTCCACCAACAGTACACTTGGCTTCCTGCCTGCAAGCTGTGGTCAGGATTGCCATTTGCATCCTGAGCTTCAGGATCGTAGTTAACAAAAGCATATCACAGCCATTAGTCATCGGCACATTTTTACCCAGAAATGGTTGCTCTTACTCATTTTCCCATTCTTCCCTTTGTCCTGCCATCTGGCAGCTTCTTTCAATTGTGAGAGTCTTTTTTTGTTTGCTGCTGCCCTTCAGTCTACAAGAGCGATTCATTCTGAATTGTCATGAGAGAGTGACTTTCAGAAGGTTCTGGGCTCCAGTCAGCATAACACAATGCAGATTTGACAGGTGCCCAGGACTGTCACTTACTGAGGGTGGCAGCAGGTCTGCATTCAGGACGAGCCTCTCTTTCACCTGCTTCTCATGCGGGTTTGGGTCATCTTGGCATGAAGTAGTGATACGCATCTGTAAGAGACTTCCTGTCTCTAGGTTTGGGGGCAGGGAAGCCTCATAGGCCGGACAGCCACATCTGGGACCACATCTGCAGCCATGTCCGGCCTGGCAGCTCCTGCCTCCTGGCAAGGCCTGCACTGAGAGGGCAGGAGGAGACTGTCTTCTGGTGGGAGAGGTCCTGCACCATCCCTAGGGGACTTCCCCGGGTGCAGGAATCCCAGGGCTTCCTGAGGGACTCTGAATTGCTCATCACTGCTCATTTTCTCAAGACTTGACTCATCCCAAGCCTGTGCAAGCAGTGAGTCAACCAGGGCTGGGGCCACCGGGTGCATTTCCCTTTTGGCACGATGGCTTGCCTGGGGACGAGACAACGCGTGGGGACTTAATCGCACTGCCTAGCCCTGTGCAGTTTCAGAGGACATCGAGGTGATATTGCAAGAGCTGTCCACCAGAACCCAGGATACATACTCAAGGTTCCCCATCAAGGGCATGAAGAGGACATCCCTGCCAGAGAAAGGGAAGAGCTGAGTTTTCATATCATACAGTTTAGTGATTTTTATTGTTTTTTTGGGACGGGGTCTCACTATGTATTCCTGGCTGTCCTGGAACTTCCTATGTAGACTAAGCTGGCCTGGGACTCACAGAAATCTGCCTGCCTCTACATCTGCCTTGCACGTGACCCCATGGCACATGTGCCCACACACATCATGGGCACACTGGCATGTACACACACACATCTCACACTTTTAAAGTAATTAAGTAGCAACATTTAAGAGGCAAATTTCAGAAGACTATCCATTCTGCACTCAAAAAAATTATAATCAAAACAATTACTATGTATGGAAGTAAAATATTTTTTAAATGGCTTTGAAACACTAGATGCAAATTAGGTATCAGTGGCCTATAAATGTCTTCGCCATACTCCCCATAGTTTCTCAGTTTCTGGTGTGCAGCTGTTACTGTGGGCAGCCCTTGCCCTGTGCTTCTGTGGGCCCTTGGGAAACACCTGCTGTGACAGGCTGAGCAAAAGTGTGTGTCTGTAGCAGGCTCACCAGGCAGCTCCCACCGCTTAGGCTGTCTAGGGCACCCAACCTCTCTACATGAGGGAGACCTATTGGGTGCACATTCAACTAGAGCAGTCTCGCTGTATCTCACACAGTTGAGCAATGGAGTAAGGTCTCTGGAACCCCTGGATGAGACGCCTTGGACGGAGTAATCCTATTACTCATGTTTTCCTAGCCTGGCCTTGCTCAACATTTTCCAGCCTCTTCCCCGCTCCCTGAGTACCACATTCCTCTGGTTATTCCGAGGCCTGCCTACACATCGAGCTACTGACAGCAAGGCACACGAGAGACAGCCTGTCTTCTGTTTTGAAGAGCTGTTTGTAGGGCTACATTTCTGACAGTGCTGGTGGCTCTGGCACCGCCACGTCATCTGGACCAGTCACCACGGCAGCCCTTCAGCCGGCTTTTGCTTCAAGAGTCTGTTTCTTACCACAGAAAGTGTCTGAGGGTTAGAGAATGTTAACATTCCCACCCACGATGTGTCACTAGATCAACAATGAAAAACAAGACAAACCAACCAGTGCTCTGTGGAATTGTAAAATAGCAACTAATGTTTATTTTTATTTTAGCATTTAAAACCAATTGTGTAGTGGGAAGAGGGTGTGACTTGAAAAAGAATGTGAATAGAAAGTACCAGAAAATGTCTCTCAGTCATTATGTAGAAAGGAAGATGGAACTGCCTCTCCCGTCTTCTTACCGTCCCCAGGGTGAGATATGGAAGTGGTTTTCTACCCTCTGGTCAGAGTCGGTTGGTCCCAGCACTTAGCATCTGTGGCCTGTGGAAAGGCATGCTGGTAGAGCCCATCCCGCTGACCACACGCTTTTCCTAGTCCCTCTCATACAACCGCCCATAGAGAGATGCCGTCACCAGGCCAGAGGACAGTCCACTCTTCCTCAAGAAATAGTGGTCGTTCTCCCACCCAAGCTGGTTAGGGGTTTCCAGAGTCATCCCCGAGGAGAGAAGTAAAGGGAAGATGTAGGGAGTGCTGAAGTTGCCCCACAGGTGGAACTCAAACAGGCCCTGCGCCTCCGTGATCTCCTGGCCGCAAGTGTCAAAGCCAAGACCCCCACACTTGACCAGGGCACAGACTTGAATGTAGTACGTGCCATGCACTGTGTGCAGCCCATCAAAGACACCCAGGGCATACAGCTCTCGGGACAGGGTGGGCCTTTCGTAGAGTAAGTGACAACAGAGGCTGTTGGAGCAGACCTGGAGATGGCCTTCCTTCCCCCAGACGGGGACCAAGGTGAAGTTGTCATACATCATCTCCGAGTGGAAAGCAGGGGGTGCGCTCACGGTCCACTTGGCAGCCTCATCACAGCGCACTCCCTGGGCATCCTTTGCGCAGTGTGGGTCAGCCGACAGGATTCTTAAGAACTTACTATGGGATGGGTCCGTCTCACTAGTTGCATTCTCTGTCCCAGTAAGGCCCTGTGGGTTTGTGGCTACCTGGGCAATTATAAGGCGGCCTTCGGGGTTGTCCATGTCGTGGTACCAGAAGGACTGCAGAGGGGTGTGTATGCCGCTGCCAGTCATCCCCAGAGTCGGGTGGTGGATGTTGGCTGCCAGAACGCTGACACCAAAGGCAGTGGCCAATGCTTTCTGAATTTCAATGGCTGCCAAGAGTGGCAGCTGGTTCATCCAGGCCGTGGGGTACACAATGTGCTTCACCTCAGAGTCTCTGAGAAGACGGATGGTGGGGTCAAAGAACAGGATGTCAAAGCACGTGAACACGCCAAACTTGCCGGCAAAGGGGGTGTCAAAGGTGATGAGGTCCACGTCAGCCGGGGTGTCAAAGGCTGCCTCAAAGTACAGGTTGTGCTTACGGTAGCGGTCAACAAGGGTCCCATTGCTGCTGAACACCACGTTTGTATTAAACTGGTATCTGCCATCATCTGGGCACTTGGGGTCACTGCTAAGGCAAGGCTGTTTTGTTCCGAGATTGGCCACCAAGAACATCTGTCCCTTCATGGCCATACAGCTCAGGCGCTGGAGGACCTGAGGCGGGGAGTAAATAAGACAGGTTTAAACCTGCCTTTTGTATCACATTTTCAGTAGAAAAGTTCCTGTGCTGTGCCTATCATGTATAAAGAGCTGTCATAAGTCAGAACTAACTTGTGAGAGCATAAAACGGATATGAGCAAATATAAGAAGCACTCGCAACAGTGCTTAAACCGAATAGTGACAACAAAATGCAAATTAAGTGAGATAGTTTTCATCTTTGTTAGAATGGCGAGAGCTCAAGGGAGTATTCCATCTCTCTTTCTCTCTCTCTCTCTTTTTGTTTGGTTTTTCAGTACAGGGTTTCTCTGTGTAGCCCTGGCCGTCATGGAACTCACTTTGTAGACCAGGCTGGCCTGGAACTCACAAAGATTTTGCCTGCCAAGTGCTGAGATTGAAGGGTTGCACCACCGCCAACCAGGGAGTATTCCATTCTGTTGACCCAAGGGAAGAAAAACAGTCTCGTAAACTAGTACTAGAGATATATAAAGTGAGATAAACATCTTTTCATCTCTCAATTTAGCATTTGAAAAATGCGCTAAACGTGTGTAGCCTTTGAGAAAATCAATTTCTAAGAGTTTTACAGGAAAACTTGAACATCCTTACAAAAATATATGTACAGGATATTCATTGGAACAGTGCTTAAAATAGCAAGAGTTAAAAAGAAAGGAGCTTGTCTCCTATTAGACAGGATGTCAGTGAAGGGGGAAGACGAGGAGACATGGGCACACCATTGTTAGAAGCCTCCAGAAAGGGGAGTGGTGAGGGCCAGGCATTGGTGGGAGTGAACTTTGACAGGGTTTTGTTTAAACGTGTTTAATATGTTTCAGTTCATGTGTTTCTTATGCAGTGCACCAATGAAAAGACACAGAACTGAGTAATGTCCCCTAAACTATCAGCCCAGGGCCTGGGAGTTTGGGTTTGGCAGTCTGGATCCTACAACTCCTTCAGACCTCAGGCAGCATGCTGTGGCTTTTGGCCACGGGCCTGGCTCTGCTCAGCCTGCTGTGCCCCTCACCTACCTCCGTGTCGTTGAACCGAAAGGGCTCCAGACATGGGTTCCACCTGGCCAGCCTGGGAGATGGCATGAAATCCAAGAATGGGTAAATGGATGTTCTTGTGAAGTTGAACCCATGGATGCCATCTTCTGGGAACACGATGATCTGCACACCCTGTCAGGGGAAAGACAGGAGAGACCATGAGGGAAGGAAGCGCTGTGTCCTTTGCTGCAAACACCAGCAAGCTGACTGACGGGCTGTGAAGGCGACGGCTGGACTATCGGCTGGGATGGTAAACGGGAAGGCTCGCTCTCGGCCATCAGCTGACTGGCCAAGTGCTGGACAGGGCTGCACATGTTGTCAGTGCCCTCTAAGAGGAACCATGAGCATGTGGGGATGGGCAGGGCGTGAGCAGCTCTCCTGAAGGCCCTCCGAGCTCACCAAGTGAACACGTAGGCTGCTGCCTTGTGACCAATTGCGAAGGACCTAGAAAACCAGGCCTGCTCACGGATGAGCGTCTCCAGTCAGCAGTCCTCGCCTGGCATCGCATGTCTAAGCCAACTGGGGGCTTCTGGACAAACAGCTGACTGGAATGTGGGTGCGTCCTGGTATTTGTTTGAAAGATTCCTGAGTAGCCACAGTTGGACTCTGGGGGCCATGGCTGAGCAGCAGGTGGGCTCTGGCTGCTCTGTGGGCCTCCTCCCACACTGAGGCATCTACAGCACCCTAGGAAGATAGAGACAAATATGGGGGGCCACAGCTCTCTTCCCACCCCATTCTCCCAGGGCTCCGAGGTTCCTCGGATTAAAATGTCAAGCCTAGAACATCCGAATGCAGAGGGCGGAGGCGGCAGGCAGTGACTGTGTGCTGTCTACAATAGCAGGCGTGAGAGCACTTAACTTCCTCAGGGAACTCTTTATTTAGGTTTGTTTTCTCCTTCTAGTTATAAAAGCTCCAAATTTTAACCATAAAAATTTTGGAAGAGCCGGGCGTTGGTGGCGCACGCCTTTAACAAGAGCTAGTTCCAGGACAGCCTCCAAAGCCACAGAGAAACCCTGTCTGGAAAAAAAAAACCAAACAAACAAAAAAAGAATTCCCATCCTCTAACAAAGATGCTTGTTAATTTCCCTCTGCATACGTGGGTATAGACGAGATGGTGTATCGGGTAGCGTGTGTCTTTCCCACAGAGAACATTCAGGAATGCCATCTGTAATGGCCACCTCATGTTATCATGCCGCTGTGTCTCCTCCATTAATCATCTGAATCCAACCTCGTAATAAAACAAACATGGGCAGTTACTGAGTGAGGTGTGGTCTCTATCCTCAGAGGTGTTTGTGTCTTTCTTTAGTTGACTCCCTGATCATTTCCTTAGGATAAAGTGGAATTCACACGTGAAACCACTGGGTTAAAGCAGGGAACGGTTTTTAAACATTTTTTTTGTTTTTTTTGAGACAGGGTTTCTCTGCGTAGCCCTAGCTGTCCTGGAACTAGCTTTGTAGACCAGGCTGTCCTCAAACTCAAGAGATCCTCCTGCCTCTGCCTCCCGAGTGCTGGGAATAAGGGCGTGCGCCACCAGCCCACAAATTTTATATTCTTAAAACACATTGGAAAACCGGTGTGGCTGCCCGTGGCACAGAGGCCTAACAACCTTCCCATTGCTCACTCATCCGAGACTGCAAACAAACGGATCACAAACTCAGAAACCAGCAATGAAGATGGCCGCCCTCGCAGGAGAGCAGGCTCGCCACAGCTATGGGATTTGACTGTGTACAGAATGTGCCTCTGTTGGCTTTTGTTACTTAGACTGTCCTAGGGAGGTGGAGGACAGAGGCTCTAGAGCTCAAGGCTGGCCTAGCTAACAGTTCAGTCCTGCTTCATCAAAATCAAAATGGAACAAGTTCTTACACTAAAGGCTACACCTGTGACTTGTGGGACACTAGCCAGTATTTTAGCTAACAAATTCTCCTGGCCATTGCTAGGCTGACTGGCAATATTCCCATTTCTCATTATCTACTGAGTTAAATAAAAACTATTAGTTCTGTCTTTCAGTTAAGTCTACACATTGACTTCATGGCTTTGGGTGAGTCCTGACAGGCCTAACGAGGTCAAGAACTGAGGAACGAAGGTCACCAACCCTTGGGACTGCACGGTCTAAATCATCTCCTCCCTTGTCTTGTCAGAGGAGCCTGTGAGCTCCTGCCTCCAGTGAGGCTGATGCCAAACTCACAAACATGGCAGAGGAGCTGAGGCGCTGGATAGCGCAAAAGCCACCCTGTGAGCAGCTGGCATGACTGGCGGGTCCATGTCCGCAGGGGATTGGGTAGTCTCCACTGACAGACGGCGAGCCTGCAGGTGCTGTGGTGACGCCTGACGTTAACGCCTCCACCACAGGGCTTGCCCTTGTCTGGGTCATTGCTGGTAGGAGGCCTGAAGGTGCAGCTGGGATTTATTTTACACTGACTTCAGCAGAGACATAAATGGGATAAGGATCAAATGCATGAATGCTATGTGGATGTCAGTAAAGATCCCCAAATAGCCCAACAGGCTGGAGCAGCGAGCAGCTCCGGGAAGGCGTGCTCGGTTGCCCAGCTGCAGAGGGGCAGCGCCTGGACAGTGTGCATAAGGGAACAGGAGTCTTAAGGGCCTTGGAAACCGAGGTTACTGCCAAAAGTCTGCTGGGAACAGCATCTGGAAGAACGCCGAGAGAAGCCTGCCACGCAGCACTGGGAGGGCGCCCACAGTTCTTTCTAAGTAGAAGCCTGGAGAGGACTCTGGAAGCCCGGCCTTTTCCTGCGGGACTGGGGCAGCAAAACTGTCCCCAGCATGCAGAAGATGGACTTCAGCTGCTTTTCCTGAGCTCAAGGCCAGAGCTGTGGTTAAAACCTCCCCAGAGGTTGCACAATGGAACACGGGAACCTGGGAAATAGTGTGTCCTGAGCTACTGAGGGTAGCCAGGAAGCCAGGTGCCAGGCTGGAGCGAGAGGGCAGCGCCATCCACGGGGGGGGGGGGGTAACTGGGTCCTACGCACTGACTCGCCCAGGACTTTAAATGCACCAAGTGGTAGCTGTGTCCTTTCAGGTCTTGAGGCGTGGGCAGGAAGGTGATGGGATCTCCTGGCATGGCCAGCTCTACACCAGGAGCGGAGGCATGGCCAGGGTCTACACCAGGAGCGGAGGCATGGCCAGGGTCTACACCAGGAGCGGAGGCATGGCCAGGGTCTACACCAGCTGCAGAAGCAAGGCCAGGGTCTACACCAGGAGCGGAGGCATGGCCAGGTCTACACCAGCTGCAGAGACAGAGGTCTGGCTCACATGAGCAGGCCTTCCTCAAGCAGTGGGCACTTACAAGTTCCCATACGCTTTGAACGCCTTTCGGAGCGTGGAGTTCACTCTGCTCAGTGGTTTGCGAGGTTTTGTTTTTTCTAAATATCATAATCCCCTGGGGGCGGGCTGTGCAAATTCCCACTGCCTAAACCGCACCCATTCTGGACCAGACCTAAAGCCCAGCTCCCGTTTGCAATTCATCCTGGAATCCCAGGCAAAGGCACGAGGGTCAGCGACCTCGGCAGGGCCTCTTTCTCTTGGGGAAAACGCCCCTGAGGTGACCTTGCTGGCTCTGGAGGTCAGGGGCGGGGCCTGACTGAAGAAGCTGCCATGTGCGGTTGGTTAGTTGGTCCCTGACTAACTTGGGAGTGGCGGGATGCCAGTCAGCTGACCCATCAACTGGGATCTGCAAGCTGACCCGCTTTCTCAGGGAGACCTTGCGAGCCTGGGGTTTCTCCCGGTTCGGGGCCGCTGGCTCTGCGACAGCACGACGCAGCTGCTCTTGCCTTCTGGGCTGCAGCCATCACTTGCTGTTCATAGACGTCGAGGTTCTGCGCCATGAGCTCCAGGGCCTGCTGGCGGCTGCTGAGCTCCAGGGGGTTTGGGCTCAGGACCGAGCGGTGCTCGTACACTGCGGCCACGTAGTACTCAGCCTCGCGGTGCTCGGGGGAGCCCGGGCCGACGTCCAGCGCAAGCGCAGAACAGCCGAGGAGGAGGAGGAGGAGGGCAGGCGCGGTGCGGGCTCCAGACATAATGCAGACCATAAATCTGGAATGAACCGGCAAGGGGAGAAGAGCTGAATAAGGAAGGCTGCCAAAGACTGAACTTTCGCAGCTGTGATTTATTAATCCTGGCAATTACACTCGCCCGCAGCGATGCTAGGCTCAAAGAGTTTGTTTCATGTCCCTAATAAAAGCCCGTGTGTTTCTCTCCAAACACGCAGAGCTGCATTTCAAACGGCTCGCTGTGTTAATAGACTGGTTTCAGAACATTTCCAAAACAGACTCGGTGTTTGCGTCTGTTTTCTCACGCGGCGTGCAGGAAGCCCGCAGAGCGCCGCTGCCTTGCTAGCCAGGCGCCTACACTGCGCGCTGCCGGAACTGTGCGGAATTTTGGACACAATTTCGGTGATATATCTGACGTTCTGTCGGAGTTTGGTTTTTTTAAAACTCAGCTCTACAGGTCAGCCCCCTAGGACAGCCGTGATGGTCCTGAGACTCCTGAACGCAGAGCAGCTTCCTAGCTGACATTCTTTAGTCTATTTGGGGGCCGGCTGGAATCCCAGCTGGCATCTGCCGTCACCACCTTGAAGAGTTCTCCCAGTCAGAGCCCAGCAGGGCTTTCCCCTTGGAGCTAAGTGAGCCCTGCCGGCCTCTGCTTTCTCCGCCTTGTCTGTGCCTCTCCAAGTCACTTGCTTAAAAACATGCCTGCTGGGAAATAAAATCTTTCTTGCAGTGCAGTGATAGCATGGAATTTTCTAGGAAATACATTGGAATTTTGTATCGAGTAGACTCTACTTACCATAAGAAACGAGACACAAGAAGTGAATGACCCTTCTGTATCCCTCCCTGACACAGAAATGGTTACACCCCATAACTGGGTGTTTTTCAGTGAATGGCCCAATTCTGCCTTGAAAAGACACCCTGGCCTCCTGGCTAAGTCCCTCCCCTGGCAGTGTAACACAGCCAGCGGCTGACAACTGCCCAAGAAGAATCTTGGTTCCATACCAAGGTAACAGTGACAAATCAAGGAATCAACACTGCTGTTCTTTAAGAAGAAAATGGCACCCCATCCAAAAAGACATCTATCCCAACCTCAACTCAGGATGTTTATGTTTATATTCCCAAACAAACTCCCTGGGCTACTCGCTTTCTTTTTATTGTTTGGCTGAAAGTTGTAGAAATAAACTGTAAGCCACAGAACAGACGGAGGAAGGATCCTCATTCAAAACCCTTCAGCATCAAATGCTCCTCAGGGAGAAGCCTTTTCCCTCCCACCCCCGTCCCATCTCAAACCGCCATTTGTTTCCTCAGGGAATAAATGTACCATACAAAGCTGCCACTCATCTGGACACTGTAAGCAATGTTCTATGGCAGGAACAAGGGGCCTTTGAGTGAGCAGTCATGAGTTTTGGAGTGGAAACAAAAGTATAATTCATAAGGTTTCTTATTGGAACTTTGTCTCCAAAGACACCAAGGAATAGTTTTACATGCCTCATTCCATTTTGAAAGGGTGATGATGGGCAGCTTGGGTGAGGTCACAGTCGCAGTGAGACAGGGCCCGAGCTCTGAGGCCCTCTTGAAGAGGTGTGGAAACAGGCTGAGGTAGACACACACACACACACACACACACACACACACACACACACACACACACGAGGAAGGCCTTCGTGGTGGTGGTCAGGAACTCCCAGGCTAGGACAGGCCCTCATAGTTTCTGTACAGCATATGTGGACACACAGGGCTCTCTGTGATTTGGGGAACTCACATACGGCAGCCTACAGCTGTATCACTGAACCTTAGCCCCAGCCCTGAGATACAGAACATCTAACTCTAATCCAGAACATCTAACTCTAATCCAGAACATCTAACTCTAACCCAGAACATCTAACTCTAACCCAGAACATCTAACTCTAACCCAGAACATCTAACTCTAACCCAGAACATCTAACTCTAACCCAGAACATCTAACTCAAATCCAGAACATCTAACTGTAATCTAGAACATGTTACTCTAATCCAGCACATCTAACTCAAATCCAGAACATCTAACTCAAATCCAGAACATCTAACTGTAATCCAGAACATCTAACTCTAACCCAGAACATCTAACTCAAATCCAGAACATCTAACTCTAACCCAGAACATGTAACTCTAACCCAGAACATCTAACTCAAATCCAGAACATCTAACTCTAACCCAGAACATCTAACTCTAACCCAGAACATGTAACTCTAATCCAGAACATCTAACTGTAATCCAGAACATCTAACTCTAACCCAGAACATCTAACTCAAATCCAGAACATCTAACTGTAATCCAGAACATCTAACTCTAACCCAGAACATGTAACTCTAATCCAGAACATCTAACTGTAATCCAGAACATCTAACTCAAATCCAGAACATCTAACTGTAATCCAGAACATCTAACTCTAACCCAGAACATGTAACTCTAACCCAGAACATGTAACTCAAATCCAGAACATCTAACTGTAATCCAGCAAAACAAGGAAACCGCTGAACCAGTAGTACACCACATTCCTTTCTATTTTCAGGGGGGAAAAATTGTATTCTTTGCAGAAGTCATCCAGTAGGAAAGCCCTAAGTGAAAATCATTCGTGTGTGTGAACACAGGTAGATCAATAATTAGAGGCTGTGCACATTTAACCAGGTATTCATGCTTCAAAGATTCGGGCTTAATGAAGTAGGAGAGAATGAGTAATTACCACGAAAATAGCTGCAAGAGTTTGCCCTTCCCAAACGGCAGTGGAGCAGGAGACGTTTGCGCTAATGCTGTGAAGCTGGCTCTCTCTCTGCACTTGGCATCACGAGCAGTCTCAGGAAAAACCTAACACGGCTGAGCAAGGACACGGAGGGCTCCCCAGCAGCAGAAGGGGTGCTCAGTTTAAAGTGACAGGACTGGGGACTAGGGATGTCACTCAGCTGCACAAACCAGACAGGTGCTGTACGCCTGCGAGCCCAACACCCGAGAGGGGGAACCATTAGTGCAAGGTCGTGAACCAGGGCAGCACTCGGGAGGCAGAGCCAGGGGGATCTCTGTGAGTTCAAGGCCAGCCTGGTCTACAAAAGCGAGTTCCAGGACAGCCTCCAAAGCTACACAGAGAAACCCTGTCTTGAAAAACCAAAAAAACAAAACAAACCAAAAAAACAAAAACAAAATAAAAACACGAAAACCAAAGAACGCTAGAGGAGGTCTGCTGACACCAATGCACACACATGGGCACATTCGTCACATATACCATACCACAAACACAAGGACATTCAAGGTCATCCTTACAGGGTGAGCTCAAGGCCAGCTTGTGCTAAGGGGGAGGGAGGCAGGGAGGAGGGGAAGGACCGGAGCGGCCAGCACTCCCAGACAGGTGCAGATGCCATGTGCTGGCTTGTGGTATACTGGGACACAGGGCTCTGAAGCCAAGGGGTTCTTGGAAACCCAACCAGTAGCCCATCTTTGGAGTAAGAGAACAACTAGAAGTAAGTGTTTTGGCCCAACATAGTAACACAGTCCTTTTGCCGAAGGACCCAGAGGACCGAAGTGTAGCAGGCCTGGACCAATACACAGCGGTAGGGACAATGTACCTGCTCCCTGTGGGCACGCTCCTCTCTGAGACAGGGCCTGAGCTCTGAGACACCCCTCTTTTCAGAGGGTACTCACGTCAGACATGCACATATTAGCCAACTGAGTCAGGCGCAGGCACATGTCTGGAATGCAGCAAGGAGCAAACAGGGCCTCCCGGAGCTCATCGCTGAATGCGATGGACGCCGGACGTGACGAGATCAATCTGTGTGTGTCAAGCGTGCACAGAGGAGAAGCAGGCAGTGAACGTGGACAGCTTGTGACCTTGTGGAGAAGGAAACGTTGAGATGGTGATTCCAAGCAAAGACCTGACCTCAGGTGGCTGTAGAAGGCAGAGCATCCAGGCAGAGGGCCTGGGGTAGCCGCATGCCCTGCATCCAAGAGATGGCAAAAGGGGTCGTACGGCCGGAGCACAGGAGGCAGGGGGAAGGTGGCCAGGGGAGTTACGGGGAGAAGAGCAGCATCTACTGGCTGGACTGAAGGCCTGCATGCACGGCACCTGCCCTCCACCCACACCCATTAGAGGAGTTAAGCACAGTTACGGTTTTCATTTGGAAATTATCCATGACGTAAGGAGACGTGATGTGTGTCAGTTGACAAGGGGTGGACTTGCTATGACTAATCTTGGTTGTCAACTTGACTACATCTGCAATCAACTAAAACCCAAGCTGCCGGACACTCCTTCCAGGGATTTTTAAACATTACTTGAAGTGGGAAGATCTGTGTCTGGGCCCCACCTTCTTGAGGCAGGCCACATAAACGGACACAGAGGGAGGAAACTGCCTTCTGCCCGCTTGCCCTCAGCCTGCCTGGCCAGATCACATACCCTGTGGCTGCTGGTGTTAAATCGACTTCTTCAGGGTCCCACCGTAGACTGAAAACCAGCAGTTCTCCAGCAACCTCCCCGACCCGTCTCAGATTGGGGCTGCAGGGACAACCAGCCTCATGGACGGACAATTAGCTGATTCTTGGTTTTTCTGTTGCGACACAGCCAATGCTGGGCTACCTGGACGTTGGAGAAATCCAATGACCATGACATGTTAATCCAAATGCTGTCTCTTTCTCTCAGATGGGGAATACCGTCACGATTTCAACAGAGTAAAACCTCCTGGAGCCGGGCGTTGGTGGCACACGCCTTTAATCCCAGCACTAGGGAGGCAGAGGCAGGCGGATCTCTGTAAGTTCGAGACCAGCCTGGACTACCAAGCGAGTTCCAGGACAGCCTCCAAAGCCACAGAGAAACCCTGTCTCTAAAAAAAAAAAAAAACAAAACAAAAAAACCTCCCGGATGTGACTCTGTGAGACAGCATTTGGCCAGTTTGTGCAAGGACGTAGGTCCAGGCCCGTTACTGTAAGCAGTAACCAAAGGGTTTCTGTAAGAGAGCCGTGTTGTTGCTTGTTCATTGCATACGAATTAAAATCTTGGAGTCTTTGTGTGTACCGCGGGGGTGGGGTGGGGGGGTGAACCCAGCTGACTGATTTTGTGGGTGTGACTGCCACCTGGTGGACCGCCCGAGAATGACTGCCACCGTGGGTCTTTGACAGGCAGTAACGATGGGGCTTTGTTTCCCTCCTCCCCTCTCCTTTCTCTTCTGATAGCTCACTATCTACTTCATAATGAAAGGAGACTTAATACGCCCGATTTTTCTAGGACCCGGTCTTCCTGAAGCACAGTCAGAAGCGGCGCCTTTATTTCTCAGGTGCTTTTCCCACAAGGCTGACAGGATCTGGGTGGATTTCCAAGGGAATGGTGCTCAGGAGGCTGACCTAGTTCAAAACCAGTCTGGGCAATATATCGAGAATTTATCTTAAAATGAAACGACAGCAGTGCGCCTCAGTAGACTTCAGTGGGGAACTGTGGACATCTTCCTCTCCCTGTTGAACTAATTAAAATTTAAGTCGTCAGAACCACCCCTAAAGGACCCAAAGGAGTCAACCCAACTGGCCTGGAGCCACCTGTCCACCTTGGCAGGGACGACACGCTCAGAAGATGGCACGCAGGCTGCCTTTTCTATGAAACGCTTGCTGGGCACCCGGTCTCTAACTGAACGATGGGCACAGTGTCTCTAGGTATGTGGCTGCAGTCGGTCCCACCACCATGTGCTCCTGTCTGCCATGCTCAGGGGGAGAGGGGAACACAGAGAGGCAGACAGTAGGTAATAGGGCCAAAGAATCCTGCTCCTCACATCAAAATGATAGTCCTTCAAAGGACAGTCTTTAACAAACTCTACAACTAAGTGACAGTTGCTAAGGCAAGAGTCCCACAGGAAACTACAAAGCCCCTTCTCCCAGGGAGGGGTGAGGGGTGCATATTGGCAAAGGTAACTAGGTCCAGCAAGAGAGGAACAGAAAACCTCATACATCCTGATGCTGCCAGCTCCTGGATCCGGAGGCGAAGGAAGCATGTGGCAGCATCGTGTGGGACTTAGGCGAGCCACACTGAGAGAGGCCGGTGGTGTCCACTGGGCACATTTTCTCACCAACTGAAATGCAGGTATGAAGGAGTGACTCACACCTGCACCTCTGCCCAGGGGCACTGAGCATCTGTCTGGTCAGGAATGATGTGGGAGCTTCTTTTTATGAAGCAGAGGTCCCGGTCCCCACCCCATGCTGCATCTTGACCCTAATACAAGCCCCACTGCCCTACACTTTGCAGACTCTTAGCAGACCTGCAAATGCTGCAGCTTTACCGAGCTCGAGGGACCACGTCCTCCAGACCTGGGGCATGCCGAGGGTGCCAGAGACACAGCTGGGAGGGGACTCAGAGCCTCACACAGAAGCTGTAGGTTCTACAGGGCTTAGCGTTAACTGCAGAGAAGATGAAGGCATCCCGGTTCCAAGGTTGGAGAGTGGTTTCCCTTTAGCTAAAAAGGGTCTTAAAAGTCACCGCCAGGAGCTCACACATGTCAAAGCTCACACAGTCTTTTTATGCCTCACTCAAAAAATGGAGGGAAGGTTAATAGAAGAAGTGAACCTGGGGCGACCAAGTGACAGTTTGGAAATAAGCTCAAACAGCTTGTGACATGTACAAACCACTCCTGGACATCGGATATTTGGGACAGTCACCTGCAGAGCTGAAGCAGTTAAAACGATCAAAAGAACAGACTGACAAAATCTACATGCAAAATAGAAACATCAAGGCCACACTTAACAGACAATGGAGATCCGATTTTTAACAAGAAAGTGAATCATGGCACAAGAAAATCCTTTGAATTTACCTAGAAAACAAAAAATTCAAACGTATCTTCCCAAGTGACATGATAAGCCATCTCTAACTGGCATAAACAAATCTGAAAGTTTGTACTCTGAGTCACGGTTTGCTTCTGGGACTTTATCTTCAGGAGGCATTCAAATGAAGGAGGAGGAGGCTACAGTGAATAACAGCCCAGCACTGAAATAAACATAATGGACTTTCAAGTTTCAATACACAGGAGTTTAAAAACCAGCTCTGATCCTGGTAATACAATAAGGTTAGTGATGAGTCCTTCAACGTACAGCAGGAAGAAAGTCGTGGAAGCCAAGGCATGTCAGCCCCACGGGCTAGCAAGCACAAGTTTAAACGTAATTAAGAAGAAGCTTGATAGTGAAATATACTTAGTATGTGCTATGGTGGGAAACTGTCCACAGCGCCTGTGATGCCGGCCGCTAGGTAACTGTACATGTCAACAAAGACTGCAGATGATGGCGGATGAGAGAAAGAGCGCATACCATTATCTTATGGTGACTCACCACGCTTGGTGGTTGTGCTGTGAGACAGGGTCTCACTATGTAGATGGGGCTGGCCTTGAACTTGGCAGTGATCCTCCTGCCTCTGCCTTCTTTGCTGAGATTGCTTAAAATATTTTTGGGTTTTTTTTAAACTGGGACATGGTGATGCACATTTTTAATCCCAGCACTGGGGAGGCAGAGGCAGGTGAATCACCATGATTTTGAGGCCAGCTGGTCTACATAGAGAGATGTTATCTTAAAAAAAAGTTTTCTTAAATGTTACACTGCTTTTCTAATAAATCAAAACTATTTAAAAACAGCAAAGAGAGATGGGCATGGTGGCACATGCCTTTAATCCCAGCAACTCAAGAGGCAGAGGCAGGGGCATCTATGTGAGTTTGAGCCCAGCCTGGTCTACAAAGTGAGTTTCAAGACAGCTAAGGCTACACAGAGAAATCCTGTCTCATGAAACCAAAAACAAAAAAAAAAAAACAAAAAACAAAAAACAAAAAACAAAAAAAAAGTTTCTAGTTTGGCCCACGGGAAGCGTAGACACTCGGCCTTATCCTAATATAAACTGGGGATCAGGGTCTCTACTCAGATACAGCAGAGAACGGAAGACCTGGAGCAGCCGCTACATTAACATATGGGTGAATGCAGAGAACTTCACCACAGGGAAAGCCCCTTGGCCCCCTGAACCTGGCAGGAAGCCTAACTGGTAACTGAGGATTGCAGAAGGCTCCACACGGGTGAGGCTGAGACAGACCGGCCCAGGAAGCAGTCTGACATGTCGCTAAGAGTTCTAGCGGTTTCACAGGGAAGACTAGAGAAAAAGCCTTCTTCCCACTTCTCACAGGGTCAGGGGAAGTCACCAGAGGTTCTGTCCTTCCGCAGGCCCACCATGGTAAGAAACCACTTCATCAGAGCTTAACCTTAGGGAGTTTTATCTGAACCTAATTGACCTGGAGGAAGAGAAATGCTAACTCTAGCCTTCCCCTGCTGCTCATGGGAGAGGGAAATGTTTACTATTAGCTCCTTCTGGCCTTTTCACCTCACCTGGTGGGAGAACCCTGAGTCCAAGGTCAAAAGTACAAGGATACAGACAGTCCAAGGCATACCTGTCAACTCCAGGGCACCTCTCTTGGTACTGTGACAGAGTAAGACAGAGGTTCCTCCACCTAGTAATCTTGCTTTCATTTTAGATTTAAATGGAATTTGATCTCCTTGTTGGTAAGCTCTGTGGAAAATTACCCAACTCTATTCTAGGAACCCAAGGTCAAGATGCCCCAGTTAATTTACCTAAGCTTCCATTAAACTGCCTGCATATGGAAACCTTCCCTCCAGCCGACTGCTTATCTTAGCTTCTGTTAAACTGCTTATTTGCACAAAACCTCCCCCTGCAGCTGCTGAGAGTGATACCAGAATGTGGTTTTTGCTTTTAAAAACCCCTTACTCTAATCGCTGGGTCCTGAATACCTGAGTGTCCCAGCATTTATTGGCAATAGACTGTGTCTGAGTGTTCTTCTCTGGTGGGCTCCCTGAAACACCACCCCATTACTAAATGCTTGCTCTGCAGGACATAATGTCATCTCTAACAACAACAACAAAGATTAACAACAAAGATTCAGTTACTATGTATACAGTGTTCTGCATGCACACCCAAAAAGGGCACCAGATCTCATTACAGATGGTTGTGAGCCACCGTGTGGGTGCTGGGAATTGAACTCAGAACCTCTGGAAGAGCAGTCAGTGCTCTTAACCTCTGAGCCATCTCTCCAGTCGTCTCAACAAAAATTTACAAGAACACTAAATGGCTGAAACCAAAGCTTGCAAAGACAGCAAGTATCAGAACAGCACTTACAATAAATAACTACCACAGCCACACTAAGAGCTCAGCTGAGAGAAAAAGACACTGTGGAAAAACAGGTGGGCAATATAAGCCAAAGAGGGAAACTCTAAGAAGGTATTTTAAAAAAGCACTGAAATAAAAACAACAAAGGCAAACAAACTGTAACAGAGATGACTCCCTCGGCTGCTCCTTATAGAGAAGATGTGACTAGGAAGAGAATCACTTATCCTACCTGGCAACAGGAACCTCAAAGAAAAGGACTCAGGAGGTTAAGAAAGGGAGAACCGTCCGAGGAAAACCCTGCAATACATCAAGACTGTCTGTCAAGCAAGCAAGCAAACAAAAAAACCTTCAAAAAGAATACACAGACGCACAGTCTAAGGGACGGTTACAAGGATGTGAACACACGGATCGGATGCCTTACTCATGGAGAGGAAGGAGCAGGACAG